GGCCGTATGTTTGACACCCCTGATTTACGGCACCTACATGTGTAGAACTGATCAGACTTTTAGGGCTAAATATAAAATGTTAACTCTTTCCATTCACCTTATGGTTTGGGATTATAGTCAGTGCATTTATTGTCGTCTCTGATAAACAAAAGACGCAGACGTAATAGACAGAACAGCCTCATGAGAACTAAACAGAACGCCGGAGTTGTGTGAAAGAGATACAAAAATTCCATGACTTTTCCAAAATTTTCATTGAATTTATAAAATTCCATGATTTTCCCAGGCCTGAAAAACTATATTTTCAATTTCCATGACTTTTCCAGGATTTCCATGACCGTGGGAACCCTGTATAGCAAAAATAATTATTACTCACCTCTAACAAAGTTGTAATGTGAAATTTTGTGATATTTTTTAATCCGTGTATCATTCGTTTATTCCTTTTTCAATATAAAGCCAAAAAAAAAAGAACATGAAAAAACAACTATTTTCTTCATTATTTGTCTCCAAAACCAAAATGAAAAAACAGATAACGATTTGTTTTTTCAATTTTCAATTTTGTGTTTAAATGAAAAATGGAAAAAACAGATAACAGCCGTTTCCCGTTTCTGTGACTTAAACTGCGATAAACCAGGACTGAACCAGGACTAAAACAAAACTAAACCAGGACTAAACTGGTCTATGGTCTCAGTCCTGGTCTTGGTCCTGGTCTGGTCCCGGTCTCAGTCCTGATTACCCGACAGTCTACGCCGGGCCCATCCCGATACTCCTGGTTTAGTCCTGGTTCAGTCCTGGTTCACTTCTGGTTCAGTCCTAATTCAGTCCTGGTTCAGTCCTGGTTCACTTCTGGTTCAGTCCTAATTCAGTCCTGGTTCAGTCCTGGTTCACTTCTGGTTCAGTCCTAATTCAGTCCTGGTTCAGTCCTGGTTCAGTCCTGGTTCAGTCTTGGTTTAGTCCCGGGTCAGTCCCGGTTTAGTCCCGGTTCAGTCCCGGTTCAGTCTTGTCCTGGTTCAGGCCTGGTTCAGGTCTGGTTCAGTCCTGGTTCAGTCCAGGTTCAATCCTGGTTCAGTTCTGGTTCAGTCCCGGTTCAGTCCCGGTTCAGTCTTGTTTTAGTCCCGGTTAAGGCTTGGTTCAGGCCTGGTTCAGTCTTGGTTCAGTGCTGGTTCAGTCCTGGTTCAGTCCCGGTTCAGTCCCGGTTTAGTCCTGGTTCAGTCCCGGTTCAGTCCTGGTTCAGTCCCAGTTCAGTCTTGTTTTAGTCCCGGTTCAGTCCCGGTTCAGTCCCAGTTCAGTCTTGTTTTAGTCCTGGTTCAGTCCTGGTTCAGTTCTGGTTCAGTTCTGGTTCAGTCATGGTTCAGTCCTGGTTCAGTCCCGGTTCAGTCCCGGTTCAGTCCCGGTTCAGTCCCGGTTCAGTCTTGTTTTAGTCCCGGTTCAGGCCTGGTTCAGTCCTGGTTCAGTCCTGGTTCAGTCCCGGTTCAGTCTTGTTTTAGTTCCGGTTCAGGCCTGGTTCAGGCCTGGTTCAGGCCTGGTTCAGTCCTGGTTCAGTCCAGCATCGCAGTTTAAGTCACGGAAAGGGGAAAATGTTATCAGTTTTTTCCATTATTCGCTCAAACACAAAATCGAAATCTGAAAAAAAAACAAAACAAAAAACAACAACAACAACAACAACAAAAAAAATCATCCAAATCAGTTTTTTTTTTTTTTTTTTTTTTCATTTTGATTTTGAAGACAAATAATGAAGAAAATTGTTGTTTTTATTTTTCATTTTCTTATTTTTGGTTTTATTTTGAAAAAAAGAAAGCACGAATGACACACGTATACATGATTTTTTTTCCCTTTAGTTTTTTCCATATTTGTTTTGACCATGCTTATCCCTGATTGGCTAATCCACCTGTCAATCACAGCGCTTCCCCTGTGACCAGACTAATACTCCAGACACACTTCTGGAGTCGAGTGTGTCGTAGATCCAGCACGTTTTTTTTTTTTTTTTTACTCTAGTTTTCTGTGTAATCCTGAACATGTCTGAACAGATTCCCTGAAGTCCTGATCATATCCTGAATGTGTGTGTGGTTTTTTTTAACGTTACACTTTCCTTTTCTTCTTCTTAAAGACTTTTGTGCAGCAGACTTTGTTCTTTTGCCTTGGTGCAAATCAAACGTCTCCGGCTGAAGTGAATTCACACCTTCCACGATCCAAAACACGGCGCCCAGATTCACGGATGCTTAATTAAACGTGGTAAAGCTTCCGCTGTTTCTGTTCTGTATGGGAGGGAGGAAGGGAGAGACTGAGAGAGAGTTAAAGATGGAGAAAAGGAGAGAGAGAAGGAGGGAGGGTCCGAGGGAGAAGTGTGAGAGATCAGGGAGAAAAAAGGTTGAGAGAGAGATAGAGGGAGATCATTTGAAAGAGAGAAAGGAGGAAGGGCATGGAGGGAGAGAAGAGGAGGAGGGGAAGAGGAGGAGGAGGAGAGGAAGAGGAGGAGAGGAAGAGGAGGAGAGGAAGAGAAGTGCACTAGTGAAAGCATTAGCAGTCCCAGAGCAGAGGATCAGACTCACAAACAGGAACATTAAAATAATCAATAAACTCACATTCTCAACAACATGGACTAAACCAGGACTAAACCACGACTGAACCAGGTCTAAACCAGGACTAAACCTAGACTAAACCAGACCTGAACCAAGACTAAACCAAAACTAAACCAAGTCTAAACCAGGTCTAATCCAGGTCTAATCCAGGACTGAACCAGGAATGAACCAGGACTAAACCAGGACTAAACCAGGACTGAACCAGGACTAAACCAGATCTAAACCAGGACTAAACCAGGACTAAAACACTTAGATGAGAGAATAATATACGTGGATACTTGGTCTAACAGTTAGATTCTTTCACAGACCGGTGGTGTGTCTGGAGTTCTCCAGGTGGTGCACGATTCACTGGTAAACTACAATTCTGTCTCTAATTATAACGAAGGCTAATTTAAGGCCGACTTAGTCAAAAGGTCACACATGAAGTGTCCACCTGCAGATGTTCACACCTTCTTCTGTCCTTTTATTTCTAACACTTCATAAATGTCATCATGAGAGGAGTGGAGCGAGCCACAGGCCTGCTCCGTGTCTCTGAACAACAAGAAGCACAAGATGGATTTTTATGAGCTGGCTTTAGGGGGGGGAAAAAAAGGTTCATACGTCATATCTGCAAGATATTTAAGGATTTATGGGTAAAGCACACTTAATATGACAGCAAAAAGTGAAGTGTTCAAATGGACTCTCACAGAATCAACTTTAACATTTTCTCAGAGTTTATATGACTCCAATCTGTTCTAGAGTTCATTTAACTTTTTTGGAAATGTTCATTAAGTAACACTGGACCAAAGTTCCTGTTTAACCCTGAAATCAAGAGTTATATTAATGTTTTGAGAGTAAACAGATAACACCTTGTAGAGTTATCCTGATTTAGCTAAACAACTCACAGAGGTGTTTTATTTTTACACTTTATTTGAGTTAATTTAAGATGAAATTATGAACAAAACTGGTTCAAACTGGTCTACTCTGGCGGGAGTTTGAAGTGGTGGTGGGAGGAGATAAATTAACACTAAGGGAAGTTGAATGAACTTCAACCATATCAACTCTGGCAAATAACCCCAACTCCAACACACATTTAACTTTCAAATAGTTAAAATAACACTTTTTGTGTTCAAAACAACTCTGAAATATTTTACTCTAAAATTTTAACCCTCCAGTTTTTGCTCTGTATGTATGAGTCTGTATTAGAGGCTGACACATCAGGTCTTTTCATGGTCGATGCTGATTGTTTATAATCCAGAGAAATCGATGGCCAATAAACTCTGCTGATATTTTTGGGATGATTAAGATTATTTTCCCCAAATTGTGTCATTTCAATTTCAATTCCAAACTCATCCACAGCTTTTTTTTTTTCAACACAAGAGACCAGTGTAGTCACATTTCATGCAGTTATCTCTTTAAAGAGATAACTTTAATAAAGTTTAATAAAGCATTATGTGAATTCTTAAAGCAGCCAAAATAAAATCAAAAGGCCTCTCAACAGAAATACAGAGTCCTGGGCAGTTCTCACAGAGCTGCCTCTAATGAAGAAGAAGAAAGTGGCGACATATAAAAAGCCTTTAAAAGAAATAGCAATTCATTTCTGCTATGTAACATTATAACAGATAAATACAGGTATTACTCTTGTTTGAAATACAACTTTTTATTTGATTTGATTTGATTTAATCTCAAAAGATGCACTGTGTAACTTTACTAGTGAAGAGTCAGTCACTTGCTTGTCATGGAGATGTTATTGCTTTGTCTGGAATGTTTCACAGTATGGCATTAAACCTTTCTGTCTTCATGAAGACAAAACCAGACCAAGTTACAGGGCAGATCTGTGGAGAGGCGGCCTCGTTCACAGTCAAAATGTCTGTTTTTCTAGGTGTTTTTGAGCTCTAAAACCACCTGTAATTGAATACATGTAAGGTAAATCTGTTTTATGCTATACTGTGGAACATTCTAAGCATTTCCATAGAAACAACCAGGCGACAGACCCCCAACTGAAAAGGTACTCATTGCAGCTGTAAAACAAACAAACAAACAAACAAACAAAACATCTGCTTTCCATTCACACTGAAAATCTGATCATGATCAGATTTCTGGAATCATGGAGCCTGATCTTGTAGCCTAAACAGTTCCAGTCCAGTTCTTCTGCATAGATAGGGCTGGGGATTATAGGGCACTATCATGTCTCCAGTGTGTATATATATATATATATATATATATATATATATATATATATATATATATATATATATATATATATATATATATATATATATATATATATGAACACACCAGGAGGATATTGATATTATAAAATGTCCTATACTTTGTCTTTCTCTAAAATGGATGCTCCTTGCAGTTATCGCCCTCTCGCGGCCTGCTCGTGTCAGTGCAGCGCGGGGCGCACCGTTGTAATGTCACACTGTGTCCACAAGGCGGCGTGTCTGCAGCAAAGATGGCGGTGCGGAAGAAAGACGGCGGCCCCAATGTGAAATATTTCGAGGCGTCGGACACCGTTTCTCAGTTCGACAATGTCCGCATATGGCTGGGCAAGAATTACAAAAAGGTACCGGGTGCATGTTTTGTATCCAGGCACCATGAGAGCGGGGCGTGTGTGAGAGGAAAGCCGGGTCAGAGCGCTCGGGCAGCGGCTGTGACAAAGGAGAGGAGGAGGGTGCAGCTCCATAGCTCCAGATGTTTCTATCCGGATAGAAAAGGATGCTGAGCCCGTGGAGGCGCAGGATCAAGCTGTAAAACAGCGCCAGTCTCTGCCTCTAAATGCACACTGTCTATGTTTGAATAGTGGATAATAAAATGTAAAGGTAATTCCTGTCTAAATGGATTAGATCCACGTAAAGTCGAGGCTAGCCTCAGTTAGCTCGGATGCTAGCGCTGTGCACAGATCCAGATGTTGTGCCGCGCATCAGACTGACTGGATCTCGGCCGTCCGCGAAAAAGACACCGTTTTTAGCCTTGTTTCATTTGGAAATGAAAAGATTACACCTCATCGTTGGAGTGAACGTTAAAATAAATAGATGACGCAACATATATTTGAGATAAAATGTCATGTTCGTTTCATCCAAGTGAAGAGAAAAGGCTCCAGACATGATTTGTCCATGTATGACCTTATCTGCCAAAATTTTGGGGCTAAGGAAAATTATTATCAAGCTTGTTGATAAAGATGTATGTGCACAATTACAATAGTGTTAATTGCCCATTATTAATTAATAGCTAATTAATAAACTCATTGAGATAACCCGTGTTATCACCCAGAGCAGACCTGGGCATTGTCCAGCTCCCGGGCCACATCCGGCTCTTTGATTGACTGAGCGGCCCGTTTAAGATCATTTGGAATTATAACATAAACATATATTATTATTTGACCTCATGCCTGGACTGAAACTGCGTTGCTTTGATTTTAGAGGTGTTTTTTTTAAATGACATTATTTGTAAGGCAACCTCACTTTTTCAATGCTCGGTCATAACATAAACTCTTAGCAGTCTGACCAGCTAGTTGAAACAATGACATTTACTACTTTAAAAAAAAAAGAAAGAAAGAAAAGAAATGTAATTCATATTGAGTTAAGCATTTTGGCCTCCACAATAGTTTCTGTTTCTAATGTGGCCCCATGGTAATTGCCCAGCCCTGACCTAGAATAATTACAGCTCAATAAATTAGTTTGAATCCCATCTTCATACAGAGCCTCCCAGTCACTACTTTATAAGTACACATTTACAACATGTATGCTGAGCGCACATGGACATTTGACATCTGGCCCTTGTGTGAGTCTGGCCCCACGCACCTTTGTGATCATATTTATACAGCAGAACAGAGTGTATATGTTAGAGAAATGTGTTTGTGAGCGTTTGTCACACTGGTGATCACATGAGTCCAGCCCTCGCCACACGTCTCCTTTTGAATGTTGCCCTTGGTAAAAAATTATGCCCCCTGTGGTTTAGAGGGTTCATGTTCAAGGTTATTGGGTCATATGTTCCATTGTCCTTCATAAGGCACGTGAATTGTAAAAGGATATAGTGTACACATAGGGTGTTACTTTACTTTGTATTCCAAGGCTTGTTAAAAGGTCATTAGAAGTATTTGGTCTGTCCTTCAAATGCCACTGGGGTAGTCTGTCAGGAGCAGTGGACCCATCTCAAAGAGCATGTTTGGCCCTTATAGTGAAGCTTTTATGAGAGAGACAGAGCTAAGAACTAGATACATGTGTGATACATTTCCCTTAAGTATCCCTCAGGTGTCACTTTTGATCATTCCACATGTGTCATATTGACTGAAATGTTGTGTGTTCCTTGTGTGACCCGTGTGTGATGTGTCCTCAGTACATCCAAGCTGAACCACCCACAAACAAGTCCCTGTCCAGTCTGGTGGTGCAGCTGCTGCAGTTTCAGGAGGAGGTCTTTGGACGCCACGTCAGTAACCCTCCTCTCACCAAACTACCGGTGAGTCTGCCCCCCCCAGTCTGTCAGTACCCCCACACCCCCCTCTCCCCTCACCAAACTACAGTCTGTAACCCTGCTCAGTGAGTCTGTCAGGGTTTTGATTGGGGAGAGGGTCCAATATGGACATTTCAACATTTCCTCTTTTTTCCTCCTCTGTAGATGAAGTGTTTTCTGGATTTTAAATCTGGAGGAGCTCTGTGTCACATCCTCGCTGCTGCCTACAAGTTCAAGAGCGACCAAGGATGGTAAGGCTGTCCTTCCAACTGGTTTAAGAAGATTACCTACCTAATACTATTTTTAATAACACTTCATTCATATAAAAAACAAAGTTTATTAAGAATGATTCAGACTTTACATTGTAATCAATAGCCTAACTCTTAAACCTAAGCCCTAATTAACCCTGAATCATTCTTGATAAACTATTTGTTTGTTATGTATTAAGTCTTTGTTTATTCTTTATTAAGGATATTTAATGTGTAGGTTTTATATTGTGGTACCTTTTTTTTTTTTTTTTTTTTTTTTACCAACAAACGGCAACATTTTGGCAGAATCTATTTGTATTCACAAATGATGAAATAAACTGGTACAGATGTCTTTAAGGCAGTGGTGTTGGCAGTAGAACTGTTGTATTGAGTGTGCTGCTGTTTCGAGTGTAACTCCAGTCTAATTGTCTGGTAGGCGCAGGTTTGACTTCCAAAATCCTTCGAGAATGGACCGAAATGTGGAGATGTTCATGACCATCGAGAAGTCCTTAGTCCAGGTCAGTCAAACCTCTGTAATTACACTTGTGTGTTCTACTGATCTAAATGACACTGTGGACAGTTCAGTGCAGAGCAAATTCATTTACACGAATGAAATAATTCTGTACTTTCACGAAAAACAAGCAGTATTTTGATGAGTAACAGATTGCCAAACAGATTGTTTTCACACTTGCACACTATCAATATTAGGACTAAATCTGGACTAGACCAGAACCAAACCAAGTCTAAAACAGAACTAAACCAGGACAAGTGTGTAGCCCTGATGCTAAAATGAAAAAAATAAAAATAACATCATATCACACATTATTGTCTTCCAGAACAACTGCCTTTCCAGACCGGTGATCTATCTGAGCTCAGACATTGAACCAAAGCTTCTGGGGAAACTGAAGGATATCATCAAAAGACACCAGGTTTGGGACTTTTTCTACATTTCACCGAATAGTTTTTATTTATTTATTTATTTGGGACAGTGCAGTCATAATTAGTCACAGGCAGACATGCAGCTGTTGTTGTGTAGTCAGTTCTAATTCTCAGCTCCGGTCTCTGGTTGGGCTTTTCCCACATTAAACACACATTAACATATATTTACAACAATGCAGTCTCACCACATTCACACACATTCGCATACAAGAGCTATACAAACCAGTATTTACAGAGGCTAGTTTACAAGATTGATCTGAAAAGTCTGACATCATTTGCACCCAGGTGAAATGATGTATTACACGTAATTATTTTTGCAAGGTACAATGTGTAACTTTCTGGTGGATCTGTCTCCTACTTGTCTTCATGGAGATGTTATTGCTTTGTCTTGCATTTCTTCAAGCTATGAATGCCTTTCTATTGCTAAAACTCCTTGGCTCGGCTTCTGCTTGTCTCCATGGAGTTGAGGTTACAATAATAGAGACAATCCATAGAGACAAGCAGATTGCAGCCCCTCCACAGGAAAAGTTACACTGTGCACCTTTAAATCTATAAGATGACAAGAACACACTTGGTTATCCCAGTTTAGATTATCATTGTCTGTTATAGGGATTTTCAAACAACATTTTTATCGACATTTGCCTTATTTCAGATGTAGTGAACCATTCTCTCGCGTGAATGCAGAATAAGTAATTATTAATGCAAAATTCTCTGTTTTCAGGGTTCAGTGACAGAGGACAAGACCACCAGCTCTCATATAGTTGTGCCTATCCCCAGCAGCCTCGAGGACGGTACGATTGTTTTATTTTATTTTGGCAAGTTCTGTCTGAATACTTGAGTAACTTCCCGTTTGTGTTTTTAGAGGAGTGGGTGCGTCCAGTCATGAAGAGGGACAAACAGGTGCTGCTGCACTGGGGATATTACCCTGACAGGTCTGTCCAGAACACATGCTAATGCAGTATTCTGGTGTGTTGATGCAGATGTTGTAATGGTCTTTTGAATATATAGTAAGCATTTGATTAATTCTCTTCAGTTATGACACCTGGATCGCGGCCAGTGAAGTGGAGGCTGCTGTGGAAGATGCCCCCAGTGTAGAGAAGCCCAGAAAGGTAAAGGCATTAAACTGTGGGAAGAACACTGGCTATTTTTGAGAAAATTTACATATGGTTATTGTTTTTAGAGTCTTAATATTACTGTATATTCCGCACTATAGGGCGCACTTATTCATCAAAAAACGACTGCGCGACTTATAATCCAGAGCGCCTTATATATGGATTTATTATTGTGTCTTAGTATGACTTTAGTAAACTACAAAGCCGCTCCACTTGCAGCATTATGGCTCCTGTAGTCAGGAGTAATACATACTGTGATTCCTTTTAATATCAAAATGCACCTGTCAAGAGACACGCTCACAACGCCCACTTTAAACTCAAGATAATTATAAAGTGAAAGTGCGAGTTGTGTGGGAGCAGTAGATGAGAGAAGGAGAACACACATTCACCAAGACAGGGAGACACCGCCGAGCGACTTACACCACGATCTGCCAACGGATCGTGGATGTCTGGTCTAAAGATCAGTATCAACTGTGGTCCGAGCTTTCACCAAGACCCGAATCACCACTGAACTGTCAGGGAACAGTAACCACACTGACTCGGATAATGACGAGAGGGATGTGGTCGTGCTAGACACCGGAATTGCTTAACTGTTCAAACAATTGTGACTTATTGTGAATACTCTTACAATTTAGTGTCTCAGACAGTATTTTTTTTATTTTTTTACGCGTTACAATTGAACGAAGTTGAGAGTTATTGTGAACACGTTAAATAAAGTTTAACTGTTGTGTTTCGTTTAATGCGCCTTATAGTCAGTCCGGTGTGGTTTATATGTGGAAAAAAGTTCGAAAATAGAACATTCAATGACAGTGCGCCTTATAATCCAGAGCCCATATAGTGCGGAAAATATGGTATGTTGAATTTCAGTGACAAGACTGTTTTACTGTTACATTGGGGCCACTCGTCCAAAAAAAGTGATAAAAGCTGTTTTCCAGTGGATTTGTTGATCTGTGTTTAAAATATGAATAATGGTTATAGGCCGGAACTTAAGTCACATATTGGAGTATGTACCTAAGGCTGCAACACTGCAACATATCACAGAACTGAATCTAAATTTCAGTGATACTGGTTGCTATTAGCAGATTATATTCAATGCAGTTATTTTATTAACCTAGTTTCCGCAACAAACAACTAAATATCCTGTCTTATTATCTAAAAAAAACTTTTAACTCCACAACTTATACTTAAATACTGAAATTCTGATTTTTTTTTTTTAAACTTGGACCTTGAACAGAATTCTTTTAAAATATAAACTCCAAATCTAATTACAATCCCAAATCCTGTCAGAAAAATTGCTATTAAGACATTTTTTTCCCAAATTGATCAGCCCTGACCGTTGTACTGTCCCTTCAAAAAACTGTAATTGTTCTATTCACCAGTTCCCATTGTAAAGTTCTGACTTTCTTCCAGGTTCACGCCAAGTGGATCTTAGACTTGGATCAGTACAACGAGTGGATGAATGAGGAGGACTACGAGGTGGGAGAGGGACATCCGAAGAGGAAGAGGATCTCTGCCAAAACCCTGACGGACGAGGTGACCACTCCGGACGAGAGGAGGGACAAGAAACCGGGAAGTGCCAAAAAGAGGAAACGCTCCCCCTCTCCCTCCCCCACCCCTCCCCCACAGGAGAGCAAGAAGAAGAACGCCAAGAAGGGGTGAGTGCATGGCGGATCACTGCTCAAACTGTTAAATAGGATGTTTAAACGTATAATATTCAAAAGCGCTCTGTGGAGTTGGAAGTTTTTCTGCTTGTTTCCACGGTTGGAATGGAGCATCCTGACTCTCTCCTTTGCTCTGTGATGCGGTTGTAAAATCTGGCTTTTATCATTTGCGGCTTTTATCTAAAATTTAAAAAATTTTTTTAATCGTTTATCTTACACTGGTTTCCACTTTGTTTTAGAGTTAATTGAGTTGTTGAGATTTTATTAGCCACTTTAACATGATGTTTGTTAATTGCAAATTCATTGTTCTGAATTAAATCATTCCAAATTAAAATATTCTCCTTCAAGTTTACATGGAAATAATAATTCTGGATTGAGGTTTACATGGAAAACATGTTAAATCACCTGATTGGACAGGATTTACGTCTACCGGAAGAAAACACACACTTCAGCTGCTACCAGCTTTTTTGTCATCTCGGTTTGTCGTTATGCCATGGACACAAACACGATCCAAACTTTTTCCAAAGTAGTTCGATGATAATTGCGCATCAGCTGGAGAATTCTCTCATCACGCATTATGTCTGTCAGCTGTGGAAGAGTGTCGGAGAAGAAAGGAAGAAGACAAACTGAGTGTGAGGCTGCTCTACCTCAGCCCACTCCCACATCCCGCTCACAAATCCAAAGAGACGTGGATGAAAGTCTGAAGCCAGGACTGGTGGATCCGGATCATCCGGATCACGTCAGAAGGGCGACACAACGAGCATGAACTGAAACTCTGACATTATTTTTAACAAGAATAAACGTGAAACATGATCCAGGAATCAATTAACTTGGCTTTAAAATCAGAGACTTTAAACCAGGGGGAACAGGACCTTTTCTGTGACCGGCCCCAAACTATGGAACGCTCTGCCCCCCCACATCCTAACAGCCCCACAGTGGAGAGTTTTAAATCCTAAAACCCACTTACTCTCTGGCTTTTAACACTCCGTCAGTTGTGTGCTAATCAGTGTCTTTTAAAATTAATTGTACTTATTTACTGCTGTTTTATGATTTTTATGGTTTTGCTTTTATTAGCTTTTACTGGTTTTATTGTTTTAAGACTGGTATGACCAAATTTTAGCAATTAACCTTTTTGTTGTCTTCATTTTCTGATCTCTGTGCAGCACTTTGTTTGTAAAATGTGCTATATAAATAAAGTGGATTTGGATTTTGCCTGAATGTTCCACAGTATAGCATTAAATATATCTTTCTTGCAAATTCAATTAATTAAAGTTATAATCCTAAAAACTGGCGACAAAACCATGCATTTTTACTGTGAGCCGACTCCACAGAGCTAATATGTGAGCAGGCAGGGTGAACCTTTTTGTCTCTACAGTGTGTACTCATTGCTCTTGCTCTTGCACTGCTGTGTTTTCAGACCCACGACCCCGTACACAAAGTCGAAGCGCGGGCAGAGGGAGGAGGAGCCTGAGGATCTGTCCAAGGACGCAGACGAAGCTTCACCGGTCGCTCCATCCGACGAAGGAAACCCCGCGAAGACCAGTGAGTATATCCCATCTTATCCAGCTTATGAACAAGTTTAAACTCTTATCTCAGTGTGTCATATGGAAATGTGCTTTTACGTTTGTATTTACAGATAACACCAAAAAAGACTCTGATTCAACTCCAGTGAAAGGAGACAACGGTGAGTCCACACCAGAGCTGCAAGATTCATCACAATCCAAAAGACTTTTTAAATGGACTCAATTAGTAAATGAAAAAGAATGCAATTTTTGAATTTATCTATCTATCTAGCTATATCTCTATTTCTCTATATCTATCTCTGTATGTCTTTATATATCTCTCTATCTCTCTATATATCTATCTCTATCTATCTATATATCTCTATCTCTCTATATCTTCTCTCTATTTCTCTCTCTCTATTTCTCTATATATATCTCTCTATCTCTCTATATATCTATCTCTATCTATCTATATATCTCCCTAGCTCTCTATTATCTTTCTCTCTATTTCTCTATATTTCTATCTCTCTCTATATCTATCTCTCTATATCTCTATCTCTCTCTATATCAATCTCTCTATTTCTCTATATATCTATCTCTATATATATCTATCTCTCTATATATCTTATCTATCTATCTCTCTATTTATGTATCTCTATCTCTCTCTCTCTATCTATCTACTGTATCTATGTATCCCTTTGTCTCTCTATCTATTGGTTTTGTGCATTTTTTTCAGTGATTGTGGTTTTATTTTATTCACAAATCTCTCTTTTCCCATTTGAACAGATGAACAAGAGGACGAGTCCATGGAAACGACAGGAAAGGTAAACACAGCATCCATCTTATGTTTCCATTTTTACTCAGAAAATCCCCGTTGCCACAGCTGCCCTGGGGCTGACCTTCAAAACACGGCTGTGAATCTTGTTTGTTTCCATGGAAATGTTCTTTCTCTTTCCATGGAATCATGCAGGTGACATGCCACCCTCAGAAAGTTACATACTGTATCTTAATCGACTTAATCGGTCAAAAAATTGTTGTCTGTATACACCTCAGGATCTGCTGCCCCCAGATTGCGGAAAGCCCTAAACATATGAAATGTATGTGTTGTTTAGGAGGAGGAGGAAGGGTCTCCCAGTGTAAAGGGTGAACCGGTCAAAACCTCAGATCTGCATGAAGACAACGTGACAGAACAGACTCATCATATTATTATCCCAAGTTACGCCGCATGGTTTGACTACAACAGGTAAAACATCTTCCATCTGATCTTCTCCTTCATCTGACCCTCTCTTCTGCTCCATCTGACATCTCCTCTGCTCCAACTTTGACCCTCCCCTCTGCTTCATCTGTGACCCTCTCCTCTCTTCCATCTGACCCTCTCTTCTGCTCCATCAGACCTTCTCCTCTGCTCCATCTGACCTTCTCCTCTGCTCATCTGATCTGCTCCATCTGACATCTGATTCTCCTCTGCTCCATCTGACCCTCTCCTCTGCTCCATCTGACCTTCTCTCTGCTCCATCTGACCTTCTCCTCTGTCTGATCTCCATCTGTCTGCTCCATCTGCTCCTCTGCTCCATCTGATCTCCATCTGACCTTCTCCTCTGCTCCATCTGACCTTCTCCTCTGCTCCATCTGACCTTCTCCTCTGCTCCATCTGACCTTCTCTTCTGCTCCATCTGATCTCCTCTCTCCTCTGCTCTCATCTCCTCTGCTCCTCTGATCTCCTCTCTCTTCTGCTCCATCTGACTCCTCATCTGTCCTCTGCTCCATCTGACCCTCTCCTCTGCTCCATCTGCTCCATCTGACCTCTCTCTTCTGCTCCATCTGATCTCCTCTGCTCCATCTGTCTGCTCCATCTGACCTTCTCCTCTGCTCCATCTGACCATCTCCTCTGCTTCATCTGACCATCTCCTCTGTGTTCCATCCGACGTTCTCCTCTCTTTTTCCATTTGACGTTCTCCTCTGCTCCATCTAGTTACTCATCTACTTATTCAAATTCCATTCTTCTACTCATACATTTACTCTGTCTAACATGTACATAAGTGGCAAACTGGAGCTGCCCTTCTGCTAGTTTATTTGTATTCTAAACATGAATTGATTGAAAGTTCCATACCTCCTCTTAATCTCCTTTTAGCTAAAGAAAATAACAAAATATAACTGTTATTTTTTTATTTAAAAGTTGTGCTTATATCTTGCAGTGTTCATGCAATTGAGCGCCGAGCCCTACCAGAGTTCTTTAATGGGAAAAACAAATCCAAAACTCCAGAAATGTAAGTATTAGTACACTTTAAATGTTATCAAATGCATTCAGTCAAGTAGTAGTATGTATTTTAATTTTTTGTGACTTTTTAATTATCTGTGAACAGTTACCTGGCGTATAGAAACTTCATGATTGACACATACCGGCTGAACCCTCAGGAGTATCTGACCTCCACAGCCTGTCGCAGGAACCTGGCAGGAGACGTGTGCGCCATCATGAGGTTGGTTTGAGTCATTACGCACACTTTATATATGAATTAGTGAGTTGTTTTGGAAGTTCTGGAACAATATTTTTTCTCTATTCATCATTTCAACCAAGAAAATGACTCAGTTTTGTGCAAACCCTTCTACCCTTTTATCCTTTTTACCTAATTGATTGGAGGGAAATTTTAATGTAAAGGCACACTGTCATTAAATGGTCTATTTTTGAACTTTTTTCACAAATAAACTGCACCGGACTTTAAAGGAAACACAACAGTTGGATGGGTCAGTGGTTTTGTTTGTTTGTCGTGTTCACGGTGACTCTGGGCTTTGTTCAGTTGTGGCGTGTAGGGAGGGTGCTGTCTGGGACCGCTGGATTGTCAGCGTGTTCGCAGTGACTCGGTTGTTCAGTTGTGTCTAGAAGTGGCACATTGCACTCGCGGTTCGTTCCTCTGTTCCGTTCCTCGTCGGCGTGGAGTGATGAGTGTGTCTGTGGGTGTGTTTCACTGTGCGGTCGCTGTCTGCTCCGTGTGTGTTTGCGTGTTCTGCGGGTGGTGCAACTTTGTAGTTTACTGAAGTCGTGCTGGAACACCCGAGTGAATTCGTGTATAGGCCGCTCTGGATTGTGGAGCGTGCAGTCTTTTTTGTTGGGGTTGGAGGCTTAAGAGCGCGTCTAATAGCCTGGAAAATACGGTAAATATGGATTTAAATGTGACTAAATAGAAATGTTTAAAGCTCCACCTGTGTAAGGTTTTACCAGAAAAAAATCATTTTTGATGTTTATTGCACTGAAAAACATATTTTCTGTGAGTGGGCTTGCAACTCTTTTTTTGGCCTGCAGCGTGGCCACCTCGGGCTTGTTTCCATGGAAATGTTGTTCTTTTGGCTATAATATTCCACAGTAGAGATAGAATGTATCTGTCTCAGAAGAGAATATGCTGAAGTACAGATCAGAAAGTTACATACTATCAAAATTAAGATAAACTCAGTAAAATTTAGATGTAAGTGGTTTTCAGATTGTAGAATATGATGATGTTATATTCCCAGATGGGGGCAAGAGACAGATTCAGTTGTATTTCACTCTTCATAAAAGCACAATATGTTCTGAACAAAACCATCATTTACAGTGTATTCTTCTCCTCCCTCCCTCTCTTTCTCTTTCCTCCCTCAGGGTCCATGCGTTCCTGGAGCAGTGGGGACTCATAAACTACCAGGTTGAGTCTGAGAGCCGCCCCACCCCCATGGGCCCTCCCCCCACCTCACACTTCCACGTCCTGGCAGACACGCCCTCCAGCCTGGTGCCCCTGCAGCCCAAACCTGCACAGGTACAGACACGTCCTAATATACTAACAAAAAAGTTTTTTATTAATACTCTTTAATAAGATGGCAAGTGTGACAAATGGAAGTGTTAATCCTTATGAAACAATTTCAAAAGTGTACTGTGAATCTTAATTTAAAAAAAACAAAAAACAAACTACAACCCAAAAAAACTTCAATGCATTTATTTTGATGTGCTAAAATTAAGTGTTTGTTCTTGTAGACTCCAGCACCAATCATGTCGTTCCCTGAAAAAGTGAAAGACAAACCCACAGATCTGCAGAACTTTGGGCTCCGAACTGACATGTACAGCAAGAAAACCAACTCCACAAAGGTATGACACAAGCAGGAGAGACAAGCTGAAAGTTTGAAAGTACATTGATTTGTACAATGAAAAATTATTCATATTTTTGGTTTGATTTCAGAGTAAGAGTGGAGCCAGCACAATGAGGGACTGGACAGAACAAGAAACACTGCTATTACTGGAGGTAAATGACCTTTAAGTCTGTCCATTAATATCCTATCAATAAGTAAACAAAATATAACAAGATAAATAAATATAACAAGAGAGAAAAGCATGTCTGATAACAGCAGATTGTAATGCAAATCGTACATCTGGAAAGTAAAACATTTTACATGTGTCTCTGCTCTAATTAACTTTTTCTGTGGAGGTCTGCAGTCTGCTTGTGTCCATACTGTATATCTCCATCCAGAAGTTATCACTTTGGCTGGAATAGTTCACAGTATGGCATTAAACTTATCTATGGGTTACCACAAGTGATTTTTACTACTAAAAATAAACATTACTTTACACCGGGTCCTTTCTCCACAGATCTGACTGGTAACATCCTTTGGAGATAGATTTAATAGTGCACCTTTAACATGAACTGAGTTTTTTTATGCTGTGTGTTCAGACCACTGTATCAAAATTGTCAATCAGATGATCTACAAATGTATCACTTCATATGTTTGCAAGTGTCCCCATAGACATACGCACATAACACCTCCAACGTGATGCCACTGTAATGTTTAAATGAACCTACCTTCTCGTCAGGGTCTGGAGATGTACAAAGACGACTGGAACAAAGTATCGGAGCATGTGGGCAGCAGGACCCAGGACGAGTGCATCCTTCACTTCCTGCGTCTGCCCATCGAGGACCCCTACCTGGAGGAGGCCGCTACTGCACTGGGCCCCCTGGCGTACCAGCCCGTGCCCTTCAGCCAGGCAGGAAACCCCGTCATGAGCACCGTCGCCTTCCTCGCCTCTGTGGTCGACCCGAGAGTGGCATCTGCTGCTGCCAAGTCTGCTCTGGGTACAAACCTCTGCTCATGTTACTGTGTAGTAGTGTGTCACGATACTAACATTCAAATTTGATGTTGATATTAAGAAATACTACAGCATAAAGATACCATAATGATACAATAATTTTTTTCTGTTCCCATGTGTCTTATGTGTGTAATGGTCAGTGGTGCAGTAGGTTCATGTTGGTCCATGTGTGTATACTAGACTATGTGCTCTTCTACTTGTTCTGATCCAGCTCAACATCATTCCAAAGACATTCAGGAAAGGTTCATTTTTGTGAATGTGACTTTTCAGTATTTATACTTGTTCAAATGAGGTTCTTAGTTTTGATTCTAGTTTTAGTATCATTTCCATAGAACCTAGCATTCTAAACAGGCCTATACTAAATGTAGCAATAGAACACAAGAAAACATTTGAAGAGCTTGAGGTATAAAAGACATTTTGGGCTTTCTGTTTTTATTCTTATTTGCAAAAAAAAAAAAGTCTTTGGTTTCTCGGCTCATAACCACAAGATGGTGCTTCCATAACCAACTGTCCATGGGGTTCAGAGTGAATTAGCACTGGAGGAAGATCAATAGAAATTCAAAACCAAATATAATTTAAAGGAACTGAGTTTAAGGTCATGTATATTTATTTTTTTTATTTTTTTATTAAATTGTTAAAATTTCATATACATGACCTAACTGTGGCCTCAGATAAAAGGTAAAATGTAGCCTTTTCTAACTACAAATAATGCTGATTTATTCTTATTTACAAAAACGCTGGACATGGCGGTCTAGTTGTTTATGTTATGATTTGGTGGTTTTGTTTCTCAAGATGATCATCCAATGAAAAAACAGAACCCCAGCACCTGCACCAATCCTCTGCAGCTAAGTGAGGGAGTTCTGGAGGTTCTGAAGAGCCCTGGTCTGTCCGTATCTCTGTTCCACTATGTGTCCAGTGTGTTTCATGTGAATTGTTGTGTGTTTTTCAGAGGAGTTTTCTCGTATGAAGGAGGAGGTGCCAGCTGCTCTGGTGGAGGCTCACGTGCGGAGGGTGGAGGAGGCGGCGCGGGTCAGTGGGAGACAGGACCCTCTGTTTGGGCTGGAGGGGAGTGGCATCGCGGGCACTGCCATGGAGGAGGGTGAACGGACAGGTACTATACACACAGCACACAGGAGTATATAATATGAATATAAATATCCTCTGTCTTGTATACACAGACAATCATACAGAAGCATCAGTGTGATAAGACATGAGTTTGAGCTGCTTATACATGAAATAGTAAATACATTCAAGAAGAACAAGACAGACTAATCATTTATTAGGCAAAAATTCAAATGGTCTGAGGCACTCTGTCTTTGAAGTTTGCTTGATTTTTGTTTTAAAAGAGTCAATGAAAGAACTTTTCTACTTCAGGTTTTGTTGGGCAGAACAAGCACACATATTCAGAACAAAATTTTATTATATCCTTTTTTTATTTCACCACTTTGATAACTTTAGTAATACTGTAAGCAGTAAGTGTAGTTGAAGCACAATGAATGCAATACAGTACAATAATACAACAAATACAGATAAGAATTGCTATTGTTAGTCTTTTGATGAAGTACCCGGTTTAAAAATGACAAATCACCTTTTTTCTTGTTTGGATTCTTGTCATGTCTCAGCGTTTGATTTTAATTACATTTATTTTGATTTTTTTTTTAGAGGAGAGCAATGAGGAAAGCAAAACTGAAACTCCACCAGCTGAAGAAAAGAAAGAGGCAAAGGTATGGTTCTGTACAATGAAATATTTCATTAGAATGTATTTAAATGCTGATCTCCATGGGGATAGATAAGCTTAATGCCATCCCAAGACTCACGGGTCTCCAACCTGTAGCTCAGGAGCTACCAGAATCTCTGCACTGTCATTCAGTGAGCTGGCCAAAGTATTTCTGAATTATACTGTGCTGAATAATACTGTTACTAAAAGAGCAAAAATAGTGAGTGAGTTATTTTTGGTATTTTAGGAAATAGTAAAAAGGGAAACTGAAGTCATGAGACTTTATGTAAATACTGATGGCCTAGTTTTTCTGCATAAATAGAGTTGCATGAACTCCCCCTGCAGGTGTAGTCTTGTGAGTTCAGTTTGGGTCAGATCCACGGAGGCACAGAATAGTATTGAGAGCTTTTGCCGTGCGGTCTTTTTAGTCGACTAATTGATGGGCAGTGTATGTCTTTACTGCTACAAAGGACACAAACATGTGACTGTGAATTCAGAACAGATCGAACCTGTACTGTATTTTGTGTTGTGATGTTGGACCAACGTAATGATCCATGATGATGTCACAGGAAAACAAAGACGGAGGAAACGAGGAGGAGGACAAACAGCCAGAGAACGGGAAGAAAGAGGAAGAACGGAGAGAATCGGAGGGAGAGAGAGACACAGAGAAGACAGAAGCTGAGGGTATGAAAGGGGTGGGGTTATGTATTTAACCAGTGCAAAAATATACAATATTTATTTTATAGTGTTTGTTCAGGATATTGTTATTGATTTGAATAGTTAGAATTTATTTTTTTGTAAATAAAAAAATCACATTTCAAGAAAAACTAACAAACAAAAATGCTATTAAATTATTAATAATAATATATAATTAAATTATTTTTCCCTGAAACATGAATCATAGATGCCTTCAACCTATTCCTGCATAGGCCAACTAACTACATAACATTTTTCTTTAACATGTATGTGCATAATTTATCAAATCTAAATAATTATTCAGTGTTCAAGTTGTCTTTACTCTAGATATTCTGTTTTGATTTTAATTTTGAACAATAAGTATTGAAATGTTTTTTGTTTTTTTCAGGTGATGGAGAGAAGGAGAAAGAGGGTAAAGAGAACACAGAGGAGGCACAGAGAGAAGGAGAGAGTGAAGGAGAGAGGAAGACCAAAGTGGAGCGAGAGGTCGGGGAGGGGAACCTGGCCACAGCCGCTGCCTCTGCTCTGGCCGCTGCTGCTGTCAAAGCCAAGGTAAAAACATCACTACATTATATTTACACTGGACTGTGTAGAACAGGAGCCAGTGATTTAGGACTGATCCTTAAGACGGCTCTTCAGATTTACCCAACAGTGATGGACGGATCGTCTAATGCAACAAATATTTAGAAACTTTAGAATACAGATAGATCACCATTATAATCTTAATCTTAACATCCCGTGCAGCCATGCACTCAAACTGCAGATGATTTGAAAGCATCTTAATAATTATAACAATATACTGTACAGCTTAAGACGCCCTAAGCATTTTAGCATTACTGGATAGCTACTACTACTGCCACAGCTGCCCTGGGGCAGACTGACATAGTAGGCAATGTGAGTGTCTTGCCTAAGAAGAACACAATGACACTTTCCACTGGTGCCCCACTGTGGGATTGATATTCCCAGCAGTCTCCATCCAAGTCCTGACCAGGTCCAGCCCTGCTCAGCGCCTGAGATCAGACATGATGAAGCTTTCTAGAGGTGGTCACTGTTGAAGTGCTCATTTATTCATGACATTGTTATTATCTGTGCAGCACCTTGCGGCGGTGGAGGAGAGGAAGATCAAGTCTCTGGTGGCTCTGCTGGTGGAGACTCAAATGAAGAAACTGGAGATTAAACTGAGACACTTTGAAGAACTGGAAACCATCATGGACCGAGAGAGAGAGGCTGTGAGTAAAGGGACAGTACTCTTCTTCTGCTCATAATGGATTTGTAAATGCAGAAAATACAGAAAGTTTAAAATAATTTAGATGAAACTAATTCTAGTCTGTGATTATCACAATTGTTATCTAGACCAGGGTTGTCAAAAGTATCAAAAATCAGATAGTCTAATCTAATTAACTACATAGTATGCCTAACCCTACTAGTTAGTGTTAGTGCATATTAATATATAAACTAAAATGTTACCAGATTTACAAAAATTACTTAATTTTTTTTCTTTTAGGGTTAAAAGTATTGAAAATCAGATACTAAACAAAACTAGGACTGAATCTAGCCTTCATTTGAGAAGGTATCAATACTAAAAAAAGTCCAATTGACAGACAAAAATTAATCTTTCCTGTCTTTAGAATATACACACATGGACAGTATAGTACCTACTGCACCAGTGAGAATTACACACACATAAGACACATGGGAATAGAAAAGAAAATACTACCATTTAATGTGGAAAATCACATTGTATCGTCTAAAGAAAGAGCATTTTTAATGATCAGAATCAACATCGAGTATGAAATGTATTCCTTAGTATCAAAATTGTTTTTTAAATGTTAGTAGACACACTATTTGATCATAAATGCCACGCTGTGTCCAGTTGGAGTACCAGCGTCAGCAGTTGTTGGCCGACCGTCAGTCCTTCCACATGGAGCAGTTGAAGTACGCAGAGATGAGAGCGCGACAGCAGCACTTCCAACAGATCCAACACCAGCAGCACCAGACAGGGACCCCCCACGGACCCGCACCCCCAGCCGGAGCCACCACGCCCGGGCAACAGCAGCAGCAGACCACCTCCTCCTCTAGCTCCACACCAGCTCCTCCGCCTGCCCCCAGCCCAGCGCCCTCTGCCTCCTCTGGCACCGCGACAGAGACCGGCGCCCCTGGAGCTCACACCAACTCCCCCTGCCCCCCCGGACACGCCCCACCCAACCACCCCAGCGCTGGAGCCTTGCCCTCACTACATGGTATGTGTATCTTTGGGCAAATTCATATTTATTTAAAAGTATTGTTTAAATATAATCAAAATCATTTCTTAACTAAGTTGTCTAGGAGCCACCACCTGCTTGTCTGCATTAAATGTATCTGTCTTACATTCAATACAGGCTTTTTTGTTGCTACTGGTGGTGCAACTTCCATGTCTCCATGGAAATAAATACAATACTGTGGAACATTCCAGACAAAATTACATATGCATGGAGACAAGCAGATGATGGACCCATAAATTACATAGTGCTGCTTAACCCTTCCTGACATACTGGGGAATATGTGTAATATAACCGCACATAACTTTCCAACCATAAATGATAGAAACTTACTGAGAGTTGCTGCTTTCCAAGCATATTTGCGGTATTATCCTACATCACACACGCGGCATGATGATGCAGGGAAAACAAGTGTCCAGTAGGAACTTTGTTTTCTGCCAAACTCATGCTCTCCATCCATTTTGATTGGTCCAAACTTTGCCAAAGAGTGTAGTGGGTCAAAATGGTGGATGCTCTGAGCGTCTGCGTTTGTAACAATTGAAAAAGTCGCTCTAAGTGCAGATATTTCTCAAATAAATGGAAAATTATGAATCTTGATCTGTGTAATTGTGCATCTCTTGCTATTTTTATTTGAAAGGTTTATTTCAGTCCAAATGTAAAAATCCAAATGTAATAAACCCCATGGAAATGCAGGAAGTGGCTCTGTGTCCTGGACCTGACACCAGCTGTTTCCATGACTGACACCAGGAAAGTCATGGAGCCATTGCACTTTTTTTGTTTTGTTTTGAGGAAATAAGGAGATTTTGAGTTTTACTTACAGACTTGATATTTTGCACATTTGGTGCTAAGGCTCAAAATTAAGCATTTGTCCAAAAAGTTGTTTATACATGTTTGCTGTGTGTTTTATATGAAAGAGTGTGAATTTTATTTATATTTCATTTATTTATTTATTTTTTTTTGTATTTCTGGTCTTATATCTTTTATTACAGCCACATGACACAACTACAGCAGCAGATTGTGAAATAACAGGTTGTAGTAAAAAAAAAGGACTGTATAACACTTCATTAGGGGGTAAAAGGGGGAGTTTAAACAGCAAAATTAAGAAAAAAAATTCAGGTGACAAATGTACTAAAATTATCCTTAGGTCTGGGAGGGCTTTTGCCTTGCCGTCCCTCTCTCTTCCCTTCTCTTCTCTCCATCTCCTCTCTCCTTGTCTCTTTTGTACTCTCTCTCTCTACTTCTCCTATTTTTTGAATTATTTATTTTGCACCTCTATATAACATATAACAATAAAAAAAAGCACACAGGATAAAAAAGTTGTTGCCAGAATCCACCTTATGAATAGATTAAAACTGAATATTATAGCTGTGCATTACTAAAAAAATGACATTTACATACCTTAGATTAAATTCATTTGATTCAAACATGGATTAAAACACAATTAAACATCCACAATTGAATGATTATCAAACATTATTCTGAAATATCAAACATTTCCTTAAAACTCTTTTTTTTAAACAACATTTCTGCTGCCGTCACTAACCAGATGAGTGTTCAGTCCCTCCACTGAGAGTGGAGTGACTGAATAATGAACTGTAAAGCGCTTTGGGTATCTTGAAAGGCACTATATAAATGCTATCAATCAATCAACCAATCAGATGTGAAAACCGACTCCAGAGATTACAGCCTCTGGATCAAAGCAAAACTGAGCTCTTGATTTTACAAATTTTGAATGAAAATTACAATTTTGATGAGTTTTGTATCTATGAATCTCTGCATTGGTTTTAAAGTAAAATGTGAAATGTTTAGGGATCGTAGCTGTATTACCATATTTTCCGCACTATTAGGCGCTCTGGATTATAAGGCGCACTGTCATTAAATGGTCTATTTTCGAACTTTTTTCACAAATAAACCGCACCGGACTTTAAAAGAAACACAACAGTTGGATGGGTCAGTGGTTTGGTTTGTTTTGTGCGTTCACGGTGACTCTGGGCTTTGTTCAGTTGTGGTGTGTAGGGAGGGTGCTGTCTGGGACCGCTGGATTGTTGGTATGTTCGCAGTGACTCAGTTGTTCAGTTGTGTCTAGAAGTGGCACATTGCACTCGCTTTTTTGTTTTTTTTCCTCCGTTTCGTTTAGGGATGGGCATTTGATTAAATTTTCTTCATCGATCGTCGGGAGAATTAATGATCGTTTATCGATTAATCATTAACGTTTTTATATTAAAATTATCATCATTATTATTACTATCTGCACTACTAATCTGCATAAATAAATTCAACTTTACGACATATAAACATAACCACTCTAGAGCCACATCAGCCCATTTGACATTATAATGTGTTTAATTCAGCTTTGTGCAAATCTCACAGAAAAAAACTTAAAACTACATGGCTCATTTGCTTAAACTAAGAGAAGAAAAAAAAAAAACAGCTCTTGTGCGCTGATGTGACACGACTCAGTGGAATACATTTTAGTGTGACCATATTTACATTTGTCAAAACCAGAACCCCGTACAGGGGGTGGGGGGTGGGAGGTGGGGACTCGTCATCGACATTGCGCCACTCTCACCTGGCAAAGCTTTTTCCCACTGGACACCGAAACATATGTGCTGCTTTGTCCCGAACGCAACGGAAAGCGTGGAATTGCTTGTACAAGTCATTGTTAAATACGCATTTGCGCTTCGGCACGTTGCAGACCGACCGACTGTGTCTCGCTCCTTCTGAGTGCAGAGAGCTACATGTACGGACCCTTGTTTGGTCACGCTACGCCCTGCAACCTACATTTTTTTTTTTTTTGACGTTTGTCGATTAAAATGAACATAATCGATGAAATTCTTAATGATCAATTATCGATTAATCGACTAATCATGCCCATCCCTAGTTCCATTCCTCGTCGGCGTGGAGTGATGAGTGTGTCTGCGGGTGGTGCGGCTTTGTAGTTTACTGAAGTCGTGCTGGGACACCTGAGTGGATTCGTTTATAGGGCGCTCTGGACTGTGGGGCGCGCGGTCGTTTTTTGATGGGTTGAAGGATTATGAGCGCGACCTATAGTGTGGAAAATACGGTATAAAGAACTTTATAAAAATACAAATTTACTTCCCTCTGTCCTCTCTTCTGCTCCCTCAGTCTCTCCTAATCGTTGTCTCCTCCTCTTCTCCCTCATCTCCTCTGCTGTCTCCTCTCATCCTCGTCTCTTCCTCCTCATCAACTTTCACCTTATTTAAAATAAACATTTCTTCATTTCACTTTTCACAGATTTCTAACTCCATATTCTAATCTACATTTCCAGAGCACCATGGCCCTCACCCTGGAGAGACCCACCCCCCCAACGCTCCCGTCCCGCCCCCTCAGTGAAAACAGCAGGTTGGAATGAACTTTGACCTTTGACTCCTGCCTGAACCCCTCCAAACGAAGATGTTACCAATTCAAGAAAAAAAAAAAAAACTATTCCACAATTTACTCCACAAGGGACAAATGACGGTAAAATTGTAACCTTTTTTTGGATTTTAAAAACACTTAACCCAGTATTGATTTGAATAAGCTACCGAGAGGGTGACTGGTCCTTCGCTGTTCGGATCGCCTGGTTTTATCCATATGCTGAAACTCCAACAGGACTCAAATTTCCAGTGTTTTCGCCAATTTCCGAAAGGTACGAAATATGTAAGTTATATGCACTTTTAATACGTTTACTTCGTCTCAATGTAAGGCTTGAAATATCGATGAATTTGAACTTAAGCACTTATATTATTATCATTGTATTGTCTTAAAAAACTTGGATGGTTTACTCTCATATAGTGTTACATGGACAGTGGCTCTACAGGGTCTAATGGTCGCATGTCTAAAAATGAAGCTGACTCAAAGTTGGTGTGAATGCAGTTTGAAATAAGTACTGTAAAAGTAGTTAGGATAGTTTGAATCTTTTGTTGCCCTCTAGTGGTACTCTAGTGTAATACATGGGAAAGATGTGAAGGTATTGACAGTGTATGTAAAGCTGCGATTCTCAACTGGTGTCGTCAGGGCTTTCATAATTCATTTTGGTAAAAATGAATTATAATGTTTTACAACTGGCCAATGCTGGACTCTTCTCCAAATCCTGCACTATAGAACTTTTCCACAACAGCCGGAAGTCCCATTCTGTAGGGTTAATGCTTTTCTATGGCAAAATGTCTGTGGAAATATCTCCTGTATTCTCCACAAGAGAATACCAGATCTTCAACCAACACATTATTACAGCCATCAGTTTTCTTCTGCTTATTCGAGGGCAGCTGTTTAAGCAGGGTGTCCCAGACTTCCTTCACCCTGGACACTTCCTCCAGCTCCTCCTGGGGGATCTTGAGGTGTTCCCAGGCCAGCCCAGAGACATAGTCCCTCCAGCGTGTCCTGGGTCTTCCTTGGGGCCTCCTTCCAGTGGGACATGCCCAGAACACCTCCAGGGAGGCGTCCAGGAGGCATCAGAACAGATTCCCGAGCCACCTCAACTGGCTCCTCTCCACGTGGAGGAGCAGCAGCTCTACTCCGAGCTCCTCCCGTGTGACTGAGCTCCTCACCCTAACTCTAAGGGAGCGCCCAGACACTCTGTGGAGGAAACTCATTTTGGCCACTTGTATTTGCGATCTCGTCCTTTCGGTCATTACCCAGAGCTCATGATTATAGCTGAGGGCAGGAACGAAGATTGACAGTAAATCAAGAGCTTTGCCTTTTGACTCAGCTCCCTCTTCACCACAACGGTCCGACACAGCGACCACATCACTGCCAACGCTGCACTATCACATTAAAAATGTAATCATTGCTAAAGATACATATGAACTGCACAAATCTCTCAATCTTTGCGAATATCTATATCGTGAGAATATCAGTCTGACTGAACAAGTTACTTATGTTTTATTCATTAATATAGCGTTAGTTTTGCTCAGAAGTAGTTCACTAATGCGTCGTCATTTCTTTCTTCTCTTGATAGTTGTGGATAAATTGTTCATGAAGAATGTGTATCCTTTGTGGAGCTTGTTGGTTGCAGATTTGGTGATGGGGCAGATTTATGAAGCTGCTGGAAAATACGAGTGACATTTCCAGACATTTTGCCACAGAAAACTATTAACTGCAAGTTCCTTCTTGCATTTATTTAAATCGCATTTTTATTGCTCAAACATCCACTGAAAATCACCTCCTCATAGATCTGACCTATAGCTTATCTTGGGGTTGGGGGTTTCCTTTTGTTTTTTTGAAGAGGTAGAGAAATGAATCCCATACTGTGGAATATTGCAGGTAAAACATCTCAACAAGCAGATGGTGGACCTTCTATCAACAAGCAGTTAGCATTTTATTCATAAACAGTAGGGGTGGGATGAGACACAATTTTCATGAGACATGACACCGTAAGATCAAGTCTATGAGAACGAGACAAGACGAGATTTTGACATAATTTGGAATGAATAATAAAAAAATGTTGTCTTGTGAGTTCTTGTGGCACGAGATCTTGTTCCATCTTTAATAAACAGTGATTCCCACATCTGAAATTACTACTTTAACTCAAATATCTCATGAAATTACAACTTACTACCAAACATTTACCATTTTGGTCCTAACCCACCAGTTGAGATCACATGCTCTGATGAAACTCTTATCTGAATCATTTCTGGCAGCATTTAAGAAGTAGAATACTTCTGTGTGGAAGGAGTTCGTGGAGGAATGTAGTTTGACAGATCTGGTATCTAACATGTATTTATTCATCTACCAAATGTTTTATACTCTTGTTTATCTATTGGACAGTGTTTAGGACTAGTATTTTTGGTGCATTTTATGTCGGGGGACTTGTTCACTAAAGAAAAAGAAAGCTAAGCTTGCACCTTAAACCGCTGACAATGAAGGTTACCATGCCAACAGTATCCTCATGTTTATATTTTAATGTCCATTTTATATGATTTTTTACATGGTATCTTGTTACATTTGTAGTATTACTTGTGAGTGAATGAGTGAGCATGCCATCGATATCTGTAAACTGTATTCCATTCAATTTGATTTGAATTACAGTGTCAATATTACAGCAGTCAGACATAACATTATGACCAGTTCATTACACACACACTCTTAATGTGTGGAATAAATATCAAATACTGCACTTATTCGGTTAATCCTAGTCCTTGGTTAGACCTGCGTTAGACCTGGTTTAAACCTGGTTCGGTACTGGTTTAGTCCTGGATTTCTGGTTTTAATCTTGGTTCCCAGTCTGCAGTGGTCAGTTTCCGTCCGAGGTGCTCAAGACCTGGTTAGTCCTGGGTTAGGCTTAGTTAATTAAGTTCATGATTAGTTTAGGTTTAGTTGTGATTTAAACCTGGTTTTGTCCTGGATTTTTCCTGGTTTAAACCTATTTTAGTCTTTGTTCCCAGTCTGCAGTGGTCAGTATCTGTCCCAGGTGCTCAAGACCTGGTTTAGATCTGGGTTAGTCCTGGGTTAGGCTTAGTTAAGTTTGTGATTAGTTGTGGTTTAGTCATGATTTAAACCTGGTTTGGTACTGGTTTAGTCCTGTTTTTTTCCTGATTTAAACCTGTTTTAGTTTTGGTTCTCAATCTGCAGTGGTCAGTATTTTATCCGAGGTGCTCAAGACCTGGTTTAGATCTGGGTTAGTCCTGGTTTAGGCTTAGTTAATTAAATTCATGATTAGCCTAGGTTTAGTCCTGGTTTAAACCTGGTTTTGTCCTGGTTTAGTGCAGCTACTGGAGGGGATACGTTGCTCAGAGTGGTCATTATTTATAGTCCATGGTCAGTCCTGGGTTAGACTCAGGTTGGGCATGATTCAGACCTGGTTCAGTTCTGGTGTGGTCCTGTAAACCAGTATAACAAGTGGTTTAGACTTGCTTAAGACTGGGTTTAATGCCGGATTAATCCTGGGTTAGTCCTGGGTGAGTCCGGTCTTGGTTCCTGGTCTGCAGTGGTCAGTATGTATCAGAGGTGCTTGTCCTGATTTAAACCTGGTTGAGTGTGAAGTTAGTCCTGACTTAATCTCAGGGCAGACCTGGTTTAGACCTGGTTTTAGTCTTGGTTCCCAGTCTGAAGTGGTCAGTATCTGTCCGAGGTGCTCAAGACCTGGTTTAGATCTGGGTTAGTCCTGGTTTAGGCTTAGGTAAGGTCATGATTAGTCTAGGTTTAGTCCTGGTTTAATCCTGGTTTTGTCCCGGTTTATTGCAGCTACTGGAGGGTGTACGTCGCCCGGAGTCATTATTTATAGTCCATGGTCAGTCCTGGGATAGTCTCAGGTTGGACATGACTCAGACCTGGTTTAGTTCTCGTGTGGTCCTGTAAACCAGTATAACAGGTGGTTTAGACTTGCTTAAGACCGGGTTCAATGCTGGATTAGTCCTGGGTTAGTCCTGGGTGAGTCTGGTCTTGGTTCCCATTCTGCAGCGCTTTTTAGTCCTGGGTTACTCTTGGGTCGGACATGGTTCAGATCTGGTTTAGTTCCAGCTTAGTCAAGGCAAGGCAAGTTTATTTGTAGCACAATTTGTACACAAAGTCATTCAAAGTGAAGTCCTGTAAGATAAGAAAGTATAAGAGGTGGTTTAGACCTGGTGTAGTCCTGGGTTAGACTTGGTTTATTTCTGGATTTGTCCTGGTTTAGCCCTAGTTCAGTGCTTGGTTAGTCCGGTCTTGGTTCCCAGATTGCAGTGGTCAGTATTTATCAGTATCAGAGGCACTTTTTAGCCCTGATTTAATCCCGAATTGCAGCCTAAACTCCGTCTATAAATGGTTATAATGTTATGTCTGATTGTATTTTTTGTATGTCAAACTTTCAAATTATGAAAAAAAAAAACTTTGTTCGGGACGTGACTAAGAAGTGTCATAAAATATGAAACTTTTCCAGTATCGGGGCTCAAGCCAAAACCACAGACTTCTTTTACTCGTGTTCCGTGGACTTTGTGAAATGACCTAAATGTCTGTTCAGTTGTGTATGTTTTTCACTATGCTGAACGTAGCAGTTATCGCATTGATTCTAAACTGTAGTGAATTGGTTGGAAATCATTCTGGCAGTTTGTATCAAAAACTGAAACTGCAAAAAATAATGGTTCAAGTTTTAAATAAAAAATCATGGGAAAATTTAAAAAGTGAAAAGGAGTTTGTTTGTTTGTTTGTTTGGTTATTTGTATGTAGATTCATACACCATTTGAACATGTTTTATCTGAATCCTAAAAGATTTGTAAATGACATTGAAAACAGTTACAAGATCTTTGGGAAATATGTGCAGCATGAAACATATAAAACTTTGTAACCTGCAAGGGCTGAATATGACACTAATCCCACAAACAATATCCTCACAAGTGTTGGACAAAGGTCATTTTTAAAATCAAATCAAACTTTATTTATAAAGCGCTTTCATACTAAAATGTAACGCAAAGTGCTTTACAGTGATTAAAAACAATCCCACATTTCCATCCATCCACCCACCAACCCAACCCCCACAGCTGCCTGACCCCACACAACCAAACAACCCACACACACATACACACTAACATGGAAAAATACACAAAACTACACATAGTAAAATGTGAGGCTGAATCCAGGCGAACCAGTTGAGAAAGCAGCATTAGAGGAGCCGTCTACACCAGGAGCAGAGAAACGTCCACCTCCACCAGGAACCACCACAGGGCCCAGAGGAGAGACGAAGCCCAAACACCAACTCTCCACCAGGAGCCCACGGGACAGACCCCGACAGCCACAGCCGACCTCTGCTCCTGATGCAGAGGCTCCTACAGAGGAAACACTGGAAATCCTAAAAATATGCCTAAAATAAATAAATAAATATAATAAAATGAATACAATAGAAACAAGTAAATGTTTTAACACAGAATCATAGAAAAACAAGTGAAATGATGATTATGTCCTTAAACTTGATTGCTGTGGTGTGTGTGTATGAGAGTGAGAAAGAAAATTATCACTGTGTGTGTGTGTGTCTCTGTGTGTCTGTGTGTGAGTGCGTGTGTGTGTTTTTGTGTGTGTGTTTTGTGTGTGTGGTGTGTGTGTGTGTGTGTGTGTGTGTGTTAGGCAGCATGGGGGTAAACACAGTAATACAAATCTTGCATTACAGCCTTAAAAAACATAAGACATATCACTCTTCCACTGATCTCACAGTGAACATACATCAGGCTGTGAAAAGATTTTTACTCTGCAAAATCCTAATTATTACAAAGGTCTATATTGACTTGTAATATTAAAGAAAAAGAGCTATACACTTCTGTTTTTTTCACATGCCTCAACTGAGAAGAAGTCATATCAAGTGCCCTGGTACTTGTAACTGGCCTCAATATCTGCTATTGTTCTCTCTGGGTTTAGTAGTTGTTTTGCCCAACTGGTAAGTCACTGAACTTTCACATGTGTGATCTGGGTTCAAGTCCCCCTTTTGACTCTGATTTTTATTTTATTTTTTTTACTGCAACATATAATTAAAGAATAGAAACATTACATGGAACATACAAAGAAAATATAGTTGATCATGCAGATTATCTGTAAATGTCATGCAAAATGTTCACTTTATCTTTACTAGTTTTTCATAATATATTTGTATGAGAAAAATACAAAAGGGGCGACTTTCAGGAGTAAACCACACATGACACATATTAACCTTATATAAAGATTTGCTACAAAGACAGTGGTAAACATTTTTTTTCCATATGGGTTGGGACTTGCAGGTCGTGACTTGGACTCAAGTCAGACTAGAGTTACTATTTTTAGGACTTGAGACTTGACATGATAAAATGGACTAAGACTTGGGACTTGATTCAGACTTGAAGCCTGTGAGTTGAGAAGACTTGATGCTTCTCCAACAAAAACAAAAAAAAGTTTTTAGAAAATACTTTTCTCTTTTCAATTGATACATGTCGTGAATTTTACATGAACAAACTAGAACATGACTCCCACTTCTGTTTGTTACTTTGGATGTAACTGAAGTACTGTGATGTGGTATCCTCAAAAGTACTACAGTAATATACAGTACAATACAATAATATACAGAGTACAGTAAAACAGAGGGAACTACAGAGAACTACATGACAAAAAAGCACTTTTAAATGTGAATTCTTTCTGTTCTGATCATGTTTCGCTCTAAAATCTATTCTAAAAATAAAAAAGACATTTAAAAAGGAAACATTTGCATTTCTTCAACTCTATACCATGACTTGATTTGACTTAAAATTCATATAAATTGTAAAAATCTAAAGACTTGAAATTACTTGAAGCTCAAAACAACGACTTGGTCCCACCTCTGGTTAATTCCGTACTGTTGAACTTTCCTGGCAAAGCAATGACATCTGTGTGAAAAAGAGCAGGTGCTGGATCTTCTAGCAGAAAAATGCAGCTTTAATATTCAAATCATCTCAGATTGGTTTCTTCAGGTCACGCTCTCCTCTTCTGTGTAAAATGGAACTCCTTTCCAATTCCACGAGCTAAAAATACATTGTCCTACTTCCAGAACACTGCAGTTCTGAGCGACTGTTCTGAATTTGCTTCTATCGTCAAAACATTTAGGTCAAAATACTGATTTGTTTTTAAATTGTTGAAAAATAAATGGTGATGTTGGAACTAAATATATACTGTAATATACACTGTATCTGATCCAGTGGAATTACTTTCATCATAATGGCATTAGGCACAAGTGTTTTTTTTTCTGACTACAAAAACAGTAAGTGTACAAAGAGATGATTTTCAGACATTCTCAAAACTGCTTTTATCATTTATAAATTTTAGGCCTACAAAAATGTTTATTCTTAAAGAGAACATGTGTAAAAATCAACTATTATGAGTTATAGCAATCATAAGAGTTGTATTTTGTATGATTCATGTTTGAGTAATCTGATATTGTCCTGTGTTTGAGACTTGAGAGCTAAAGAAATCAGTTTTCACCTACACCAGGCATGTCCAAAATGCGGCCCTCGGACAAATTTTTCTTGGCCCTCAGGCTTCCAGGTGAATTGACCCAAATTACCTTACATCAATTAAAAATGTACTTTTTACTGCAAGTTTTTTTTTTTTTTTGAAAATCTACCTTGATAAAGCAAATATTGAATATTTAGTGTGTGGTTTTAAAGGTTGTATGGAGGATTTTTAGTTTTTGTTTCAAATTGTCAGTGAAAGTTTAAAATACCATTACAGAGACACAGCAGCCTTATAATTATGATAACAAAAAAAAAAAAAAGAATGAAAATCTATCAACTGTGGATGTAGTGAGGCCAGATAAACATCAACCAATAGATAACGAGGCTCCCTCATTTTCTATTGGCTTTTAGGTTGTCAATCAAACACCCTAGTGTAACTGACTCTCTTAGTCTTAGACCAAGCCTAAACCAAGACTAAATCAGGATTGAACCAGGACTAAAACCAGGTCTAAACTAGATCTAAACCAGGTCTAAACCAGGACTAAAACCAGGTCTAAACTAGATCTAAACTGGGGCTAAAACCAGGGCTAAACCAGATCTAAACCAGGTCTAAACCAGGTCTAAACCAGGACTAAACCAGGACTAAAACCAGGTCTAAACTAGATCTAAACTGGGGCTAAAACCAGGGCTAAACCAGATCTAAACCAGATCTAAACCAGGTCTAAACCAGGACTAAAACAGGACTAAAACAGAATTTAACAGGACGAAACCATGCTGCGTGGACCGTGTCTTCTCCTCTTCTATCAGTAATAGTTTTAATACGGTTCAGTAAAGTCTGGGCTTTTTATTTTCTTTTAACAGACAAAACATCTTGTGTGAAGATATCCGTGTCTTTGCTTCTCTACAGAAAATCAAGTAATCCAGAGTATTCAGATTACATTACTCACTTTTAAGTAATTTACTGGATTCCGTTACAAACTACATTTTGGGGTCTGTAATCTGTAATATGTAGGGGAATACATTTTAAAAGTAACCTTCCCAACACCGCTCATAGTACATGTATGAACATCTGAAGAGAACATGAAAAAAAGGATAGACTGATCACTGCAGTTTACGATGAACAAAATGTAGACGAATGAGAGAAATGAGCCAGTTCCAAATGGTAAAACATGACATTTTATTCAATACAGAGGTGACGTTTTCCTTATCCACAATGGCACAGTCCGAAAGACTCACCAAAAGCAGAAATACAAAAAGATGAGGTTCACAAGGGACAGAAAAGGCACTGAAACCGAAACTAAACAGAGCGAGTGAAGAAAGAAAAACATAGAAGCGTCAGACGAAAGACAAAACTAAAACACGGAAAGGGTTAAAGCTGAGATCGGGGTTTGTCCAGTGTTCAACCGTTCATCACCATCCTCACGAGCTCTGGGGAAATGAACAAAACAAAAAGACAGCAGAATTAAATACGATGTCAGAATTCATATCAAGTTTAAAAAATATCTCGATAAATTTATAATATCGAGATATCGCCCACCCCTTGACCGTACTCGACCAGAACTAAACCAGGACTGCAACAAAACTTGTGAGAGGATTTTCAGCATTTAAAGGAGAACTGTTTACTTACTGTTTATTTATTCATATATTTTTTATTCATGCAGATGTTATTTCTTTGTCTGGAATGTTTCACAGTGTGGCATTAAACCTTTATCTTCATGGAGCCCAAACCAGAGCAAGTTACAGGTCAGATCTGTGGAGAGGCGACCCCGCTCACAGTCAGAATGTCTGTTTTCTAGGTATTTTTGAGCTATAAAACCACCTGTAATTTAGTAGATGTAAAGTAGAGCTGTTTAATGTCACACTGTGGAACATTTCAGGCAGAGCGATGACATATCCACAGAAACAAGTACGTGGCGGACCCCCAAGCAGAAAAGTGACACAATGCCCCTTTAAAGAGCATTCACCTCACCAAAACTGAGACTAAACCCCGGAACAGAAACTGGACTCAACTAGAACTAAACCAGAACTGCTACAAAATGAGTGAATGAGCAAAACCTTGGAGACTTGTTCATTTAAAATAGCTGTTCAAAATAGTGTCTCTTTACAGTCTTTATTCATATTTAAGAAGCTGATAACTGATTTTTCTACATAACTCTATGATGAAGGACAAGATTTGAAAGTAAAATGCAACTAAATCTTTGCAGTTTTGGTGCACTCATGCAGACCTGGGCACCGTCCAGCTCCCGGGCCACATACAGCACCCTGGTTGATTCTGATCATTTGACCTCATGTATGGATCAAAGCTGCATTTCTTCTACTTTAGAGGTGTTTTTCTTAAATAACATTTTTTGTAACGCAACCTCACTCTTTCATTACTTAGTCATAACATAAACTCTTACCAGTCAAAATACAATTAATATTATGCAGAACAGAATATTTTCTGTTTCTCATGTGGCCCCATAGAAAAAAGAATTGCCCAGCCCCGAGCTAAACTAATACAAGAATCTTGTTGCAGAACATGAGTGTAGAGATCTAATCTCCTGTTCTCCATAAACACTGCACACCACAGTACCTTCATAGTTTAAAGAGCCATTTGAGTCTTCAAGTCCAACTAAAAGTGTCTCCACCTCCTCCTCTGTCATTTTCTCACCTAAACATGGAAATATAATTGTGTAGAAAAATGTGTACTATTATTACAAACAACAAAAACAAAAAAAAAACAATTCAAAACACATACATGAAAATGTGGTGGTATTTCCTGCTAACACATCATATATTTAGATCTCCATGTTACCTGTATTTGTTTTGGAAATACTTTATTCACCAGAAGTAACATATTAACATAATAACACATTATGTTATTAACATAATAAGTTTCAGTTTTGATGTTGTTGCTCTGAGTTTGTCTTTTGTCAGTATTCATGAAGCTGCCTGGTTAATTCCACTTCTCTCAAACTGTGGAGCTGCACTTGCTGTTTCATTTATTGTGTACTGGTAATTAACCGAGTCACGCCAAAATAAATGTTTATTTAAATATCAGACAGGACAGCAGGTTACACACGGATAATCACAGACAGCCTGTTTAGACTTTTACAACAATGTAAACACCTCACAGAGGGAAGATTCTGTGTGGATAAAAGTATGTGTTTGTGTCTAATGCTAAAGAGAAACTAATGTAGTGCGACCAGACGTCCCCTTTTCCCCGGGACAGTCCCAGTTTTGAGCCTGTGTCCCCTGACCCAGCAGATTTATACAAAACCACTGATTTGTCCCAGTTTTATACAAGAAATGTCCCAAGTGTCCTTATTTGATTTAAACTAAGGACTAAACCAGGACTAAACCAGGACTAAACCAGGACTATCACAATTTCTAACTAATCTGATTTAAATTGTCATTTGTTTTGCCAAAATACAGAAATCCGTGTTCGTGAATGACAATAAAGCAAAAAAAAATGCAGCAACAGAAGCCCCTCAGATCATGACTGACACTTACTCGCTCTTTTCTCAATTTTATTTACACCAAACGTCCCAAACAAAAGGTGTGTCCCAGTTTAGAATTTTGAAAATCTGGTCATTACGAATCTAAATCGCAAAATAGAACACAAAACAACTTTATGAAAATGACAAGTCGACTGTTTTTCTGTGTAAGATCATTCAGATCGTAGAGCTATTTCAACATCAGTAATTCAGTTTAATTTTAGTTAGCACTAACTTCAAGACACAAAGACCTTCTTTTATGCACACAGAAGCTTCCTCCGGTGAACTATATCATAGCAAAGGTCTGAACACGCGGCCTGTGACCATGTATATGTGTTGAGGTCTGCTGTTCTCTGTCTAATATTTTAAATATAGATTTATCTTACGATTTTTATATATATTTTTACTCTTTGTTATTGTCATATGTGATGTTTGAGTCCAAGTACCGTATTTTTCGGACTATAATTCGCACTTTGTTTCATGGTTTTTGTGGCCTTGCAAGTTATACTCTGGTGCGACTTCTATATTAAAAGTTGTGATGGGCAAATGAGTCGGAGCTCTGGAGCACGTCTCGGTCTTTCTGAAACAAATTGCTCTGAGGCACTGCCTCGGAGCTCGTCTCACAGCAGCCGCTCACGTGACCAAAGTGTGGAAGTGTCGGCCCCTTCCCCTACTGCTTCGATCTGCGTGTCAATCGCTTCAGTGTGTCGAAGCGTTTCATTGGCTCAGCGAATGTTCCGCTCTGCGATTGGTTCAGAGTGCTTCAGAGTGTTCAGTGCACTTCCATGGTTTGACAAGCGCTAAACTGCTACAGTATAAAAGATGCACTAATATTTCTTAAAAATGTTGGTAGTGAGGAGTATTGTGTGACGTGATGATTTTGGTGACTTTTGGCATTTGTTTCATTTTCGATGGCATCTACAAGTAGAAAAAAGCGATCCATGGTTTGGGATCACTTTGATCTAATTCCACCTAACAAGGTAACGCCTATTTTCTTATTTATAGCATGTTATTTATGTTGCTCTTTACTTCTTGTTGTTGTTGTTCTTGTTGTTGTCAAGTATTGTCTTATTTTTAAATTTGTCCACTAGAGGTCAGTGTTTCTCCAAGGCCTCAGACGAACCATGACACAATATTGCGACAGAGGTGTCAATGCTGCACGAGGCTCCATTCACCCATCACTAATTAAAATATATAATTTCACATGCTTGTTATTGTCACACTGACAGCCATGAGAGGGCGCTCTGTGTGTCAGTATCTGCTGCTCGTCTCCTCCAGAAAGAGCCTCCGTCCTGTCTGTATCATGTCAGATTCTTGTAGGATTTCAGCAGATTTCCAGCTCTCCCGGGGGCGGGGATAGGTGCATCAATCAGGTATGAGTGGATGTCTGGCTACTGTAGTTTGAAAATACAGTCATTTCCCTTGTGGATCATTAAAGTCTGTCTAAATCTAAGTCTAAGCCTATTTTAGCATGACTTGGCTAATTTCCAATACACAATGAACGCAACAGGAAGTGCGGCTCTTGAGTTTTGAGAGAAGCGGAACCAGGCGGCTCTGTGATTAGGGCCGATTGCGTCGTGTAAGACTCACCCAGAGTGGTGAGGACGTGCCGTATCTCTGAGCCCATCACGGTCCCAGTTCCATCTTTGTCGAACACTCGGAGTCCCTCCACCATGTCCTCAAACGTGACCGTATCTTTGTTTTTGGCGATGGTCTGAAGCATCGGCAAGAAATGCTCAAAGTCCACCATCTTGTGGTTCATCTCTGCAAAAATGGAAATGTGAATGCTGGAATATATACATAATGAACAGAACTGCAATATAACACACCAGCTGCAAAACTAAAACCAGCTAAACTTGATTTGAAATAAGATCTGAGTACAAACATACTGACGAGTACAGTTCCAGGAGCCTACAATATTTAAGATGGGTCAGTGTGTGTTTAAAACCAGCTGCTTAGTTGGTAAAATAATTTGAGTGTCTATGGAAGTTTCTGGAGGTGGCACTTAACCTGCATAACTCCAAAGGAATAGAAAGTTAAAATCTTACTTTGGAACATTCTCCAGATATGTTTTATGGCATATTGTGTCAGATTAAAGGAAACGAACAGAAGCAGACGTTCCTTCAGAAAAAGTTCTATACAGAGGCTGAAGCCTTATGACATTTGTAGTAAATCTCTCGTTTGTTCAAATTAAGATCAAGTATCAAACAGAGTTAATCATCTCCCCATCACATCACATGTTGTCTTGTCTTCATCTACTGATCTGCAATGGATCCTCAGACTAGAAATTCTCTTCATCGAGGTCATTCAGTTCATCATCATGATCTGAATCATTTTTTCCTTGTTCTGTAAAACATTTAATAACTTTGTGTACAAATTGTGCACTACAAATGAATTTTCTTTTATTCGAGAGGGACCCACCACCACAGTGATAGAACAGTAGAGTTTGTGTTAAAGCACCTTCCATCTTGGGGTTGCCCAGGACCTTGAGGACATCAGCGTTGATGGGGTTTTGTCCCAGAGCTCTCATCACGTCTCCACACTGACTGTAGAAGATCTTCCCATCTCCAGTGCGGTCGAACAGCATGAACGCCTCCTTATACTCTGCACACACAAGGACCACTTTTTATCTTCATTGTTGTATCGTAGTCGATATCGAGTATCGAGTCCATTCCTTAGTATCGTACAGCACTAATTCTCATCACATTTAGGGTGTTAAAGAGAAACTATATACATTTTCTAGTCCACTACTTGCGTGTCTCCATAGAGATGTTATCAAATATCTCACAGTACGGTGTTAAACTAAATTATCTTTATGCAGACTAGAAGCTGACACCAGTAGACAAAGACAAGTTCTCGGTCAGATCTGTGGAGAGGCAACCCTGCTCAGAATGAGATTGCAAAAATCGGTCCTAAACACAGTTTAATGCCATACTGTGGATCATTTCAAGCAAAGAAATACCATCTCCATGGAAACAAGTAAGAAGGTGATGGACCCTCCCCAAGAAAAGGAACTTTTGTGATTTGTGAGCCACTGCACACTGTGCACAGTAGCACACGTCCACATTATATACACACACACATATATTATATATATATATATATGCTCATCTCGAGCACATGTCCTCCAGGCTCAAACTGCAGCTGTCAACACTCAATAGGTTGATTTGAATGAGCAGAGACATGACAGTGCAAGAACTGGTTCTGTCGTGACATTTGTGGTTCACTGAGCCACATGAATGCCCTTTGGCACCAAGTTCATTAAAACTGAAACATGTGTGAAAGCTGAGGAGAAAGAAGAGGTCGCCCTGAATGAGCTCAGACATATTCTTTTAACAGTGACCCATTTTATGACAAAAATATTACTCAGTTGTGGGGGCTGTAAGGTAATCCTGCAGGGCTGGGCCATATCATACTGCTGGATCTCAAATGACATCACAGCACTGGATAAGACGATAATATTTAATACAGATGGAGTCAGCAAAAATGAATATGGTTAAAAATGTATTAATATAGAATTCTAGGGACTATTCACAAATAGAAATGATCATATTCAACATTTGTGAATTTACCTTTTGGAGATTTCATGATAAAGTACAGTGGGATCTATAGGAAACTGTCTCCTGTCCCGATCTGGAAGTCTGACATCACATTCTAGAGTCTGAAAATCACCAACTGTTCATGATATACTGTCACTTGGTAAATGTATCAAGGTAAAACAGAAGGCTGGGTCATATATGACCAAAAGTGCATCACATTTAGGTTTCCTAATATTAATCAAATACAATAGATTTTCATTTTAAAAATGAATAAGGATGACTTTCCACACTCAAGGCAGGCTTTCACATTAGTGCAATTAAAAAACAAGAAATAGTCAAATTTATTCACTCTGAACTCCAAGCCTCATGTTACTAGGGATGAGTAAAACAACAGTTTTTTTAACGATGAGTATAAAAAATTACAGCCCGACCGATATGGATTTTGTTGCGGCCGATATGATACTGATATAATGGGAGTTGGAGCTGCCGATACCCGATATAATCACCGATATATTCAGTGATGTTAAAATTCACTGTAAATCTTGAATTGTTTAAAAAACTTAGGTTTGGCTCTAGTGGATTTTAAATTGGGTTTATTTAAGCAACATTTATTGTTATTCTGACTCTTTACGTCATATTTACAGACAGTAGTTCGGCCTAATGGAATTTTTGCATCACATTCTAGCTACTAGTGATGGGTATTCCAGTTCTTTTAAGAGAAATGGCCCTTTTGGCTTGGCTCACTAAAAGCAGCTGGCTCTTTTGGGTCCCAAGCAACTCTTCAGATTGTTTTGTTGCAAGCAGGACTAAACTAGAATTGAACCAGGACTGGAAAAAAAGGACTAAACCAGGACTAAAACGGATCTAAACCATGTGTAAAACAGGACTAAACCAGAACTGAACCAGGACTGAGTGTCGGGACTCGGTGTCTATCTCTCTCCCTCTCTCGAGCCCAAGATTAGTCCTGGTTTATTTATTTTATGCTGAACTACAGCCAAACATGCACATTTTTTCTATCCTATGCACACGCATAATTCTGAAAATTTCGTTTTGAGCCGCTGCCGCTGTCAAACTACCACGAGTCTGCACGCGGTGTGAAGCTCTAAGAGCCGTTTCGTTCGAGACCGACCCATCACTACTAGCAGGTAAAGAAACTAGCGCTATTAGCCTTTAGCCGTAAATACATGCGCAATTATCATCATTCACACCTCTATTCACAGTTCATTTACATGTCAGTGCAGGTCCAGTAACAAATATACGGCCAATGTAGTCACTTTACAATAGACCAATAGAAGAGAAAACAGCCTGTTTATGTGCGGGAGCTACAGCAGCTAATAGCTAACTAATGAGAAAAAACAAAAGTAGCTTCAAAGTCGACACATTTCCAACACTCACCGCTCACACAGGCTCCTCCTCACATCACAAGTCTGCACTAATAAATGTCCTTTAAATCCAGACTCAAACCGATTGTCTGTAAAAAGAATATAATCTCAGTGTTTGGATCTATGTCTGCGCGTGTAAACAAACACACGTGAGTGACGCGACTCTGTGGTGTGTTCAGGGACAGTACAGACACACACACAGACAAATGACTCCGCAGATAAATACTGATGTGGAGCCACATATTAGGGCATTTATCTGACTGTAAATTGGATTAAATGAACATAATGTAGATAATCTAAGCTTTATAACGAGGTATAACATGCCCACGGGAAAGTGCCCCATATCGGACGATAATATCGGTCAACTGATAAAATCGGTCGGGCTCTATAAAAAATTATTCTGAATTGATGCAGACACGCCAGGAATTGGAATTTTAGATTTAATTGAAGCTCCTCCTCTTCTCTGTGAGCCACGTGGACATTTCTCTGCACGTTTGAAAAAAGTAGCCACTCATTTGAATTGAAAGGTAAAATGCAGTCAACCAGTCAAACGTTCGTGCATCGACTTGTGAGTCTCAGAATCACAGTCAAACTGAATCCTGTGAGAGCCACAGATTCCCACCCCGACAAGATACAGACATTATTAATATTCAATTAACTGCACAGCTGCACATCTTTTAAAGAACTCAAGTAAAGACCATAAGGAAACTAAAAAGTATTATTGTGGCCATAGTCCCAGCAGAAATCTGAGATTTTAAAACAATATTAATCCAATTACTTGGACAGCCACTGATATGTGTAAAGGAACTGTCTTGAACCAGTGTCCCGCTAGTATACAAATAACTATTCAAATACAAGCTGCACTCAAACAACTGCACTGATCAAAGCAGCAAAACTACTCTTAAAACTGGTAATAATAAAACACAGATCTGACATTCACACTAGTCAATTTGCACCAAATGTATCCACACAACTCAATATTCTGGTTACCATGCTTAACTAATGAGGACAATCAGAAAACATACACAACTTTTAAAAAGTAGTATTAGTAGGGTGACCAGATGTCTCCGTTTACTCCATGATAGCACCAGTTTTGAACAATGTGTCTCCTGTTCCAGCAGATTTATCTAAAACCAGAGATTTGTCTCAGTTTTATAACAGAAATGTCCCAGGTGTTGCTATTTTGACCAATCTGATCCCTGACAACAGTAAAGAAAGACATAAACTCATCATTTGTCATCATTTGTGTTGGTAAAATACAAAAAAGCTGCTTAAAAAGGACCATAACCCAAAGAAAACATAACTATAGTGACAGTTTTCCTTAAGTATGCTCTCTTTTCACAATTTTATTATTACCAACCACCAACAAATCAGGGATGTTCCAGTTTTTGATTTGAAAATCTGGTCAACCTAAGTGGTAGTATCTAAAAACACTGACGTGGTTTTCAAACTTGGTTAACTGGTGCATGAGTAAACAAAAATAGTTGTTTATCCATCAAATCACTCAACACTTTTACCTGTGAGAATCCAAAGTGGAAAAGTGCTCAGCTATAAAGTTACACACAACCACTTTAACTCATGTACTGTTACTTTTTTAGTCCAACAGATTCTATATTACACAAAATGGATTCTTGAGAGCTTTAATTCATGTTAGAATGTTGTTACCTCATCAAAACAGTTGTGCTTTCATTCACGTTTAAGTAAGTCTTTATTATTATTAATCTGTCTACATCTCCAAAGCTCAAAATGCTCTGTTCCACCTTGTGATGTCATGAAACCGCTCCTTTTACTTTATATTCAGAAGAGATGATTAATTCTAGATCTAATGATTAACGCACGTTCAAAAGGTGTCTGGAGTTTAAATACTCAGAGGAGAATTTCCTGTATTACCACATGACATCACAAGGTGGAACAGAGTGTTTTCTGTTTAAGAGAAGAACCAAATATGTGTGAATGAACCAAAAGTGCAGGTATATTTGTGAAGAGGAAATAACATTACATCATAGATCAGAAAATAGCCTAACATGGGCCCTGTAAACAATGAATTAACGAGGTTTTGGGGACTGGACTTACCCATAATTTGGTCATCGGAGAAGTTAGACTGAAAGATAAAAAAATAAACACACAAGAGGTTAACGTAAAGCACCACAAATACATCAATATTTAACATTTTTGGACAATATTTTGATCGAAATCGCATCGCTTGGTTGCTAAGAGCTGGTTAGCCTGACTGGACGCTGCAGGATTTGGGCCAAAAATACCGATGCGCATTTTCTACCGATATCGATCCATGCAAAAACGAGCACGTACGCGATCTAAAGCGGAATCAATCTATGCACATGTCCAGGTTACGCGCTTGAAAACAGACGCTTACCATGGCTGTAGAAGCGTTTTTGGTGCGGATCAGACGCGATGCGGCTCAGGACTGCAGCGGGGTAAAGACAGGCTCCGGCACATCCACCGTGACGCAGCGCACTTCACCCCGCGTCAGCCAATCACAGCGCGGCGTCCCGGCCCAAGCATTTCTGGTATTTTTACCTGGGTGTGGAGGTAAAAAAAACAACAACAAAACAAAACAGAAAAAAAAAAAAAAAACCTGCACACACCTACGCCTAAAGACAGAACCGATAATACTCTTATTCAAACAAGTCCTGTTGTTTGGGGATTTGAATTGTAATTTCAGACTGTATTTGATTGTATAAATCAGGTCTAAACCAGGTCTAAACCAAATCTAAACCCAGGACTAAACCCAGAATTAAATCCGGTCTAAACCAGGTCTAAACCCAGAACTAAACCAGGTCTAAACCAGAACTAAACCAGGTCTGAATCAGGTCTAAACCAGGTCTGAACCAGGTCTAAACCAGGACTAAACCAGGTCTAAACTAGGACTAAAACAGGTCTCAACCAGGTCTAAACCAGGACTAAACCAGGACTAAACCAGGACTAAGCCAGGTCTAAACCAGGTCTAAACCAGGACTAAACCAGGTCTAAACAAGGACTAAACCAGGTCTAAAGCAGGACTAAACTAGGTCTAAAACAGGACTAAAACAGGTCTAAACCAGGACTAAACCAGGTCTAAACCAGGACTAAACAAGGACTAAACCAGGTCTAAAGCAGGATTAAACAATATGACACTAACAGTAGGTGGACATAATTTAAAGCAGCAGTGATCTCATATAAAAATCATTTCTCTATCAATAATATTTTTAATTAGATTAAACATCTCCGTCTTTGCTTCTCTACAGTAAACAAAAGTCTGTTCATGGAGACTTGGGCTCAGACAATTTGAAGACAACAAACATGAATTTTCAGGATGTGGTTGGTACATTCATGTAGTTTTAAAAAACATGACCATATCAAGTAATCCAAAGTATTCAGATTATGTTATCACTTTAAGTAATTTAATGGATTCCGTTACAAACTACATTTTGGGATATGTAATCTGTATATATATATATATATATATATATATATATATATATATATATATCTTGTTTTTTTAAAACTACATGAATGTACCAACCACATCCTGAAAATTCATGTTTGTTGTCTTCAAATTGTCTGAGCCCAAGTCTCCATGAACAGACTTTTGTTTACTGTAGAGAAGCAAAGACGGAGATGTTTAATCTAATTAAAAATATTATTGATAGAGAAATTATTTTTATATGAGATCACTGCTGCTTTAAATTATGTCCACCTACTGTTAGTGTCTTAAACCTGGTTTAGTCCTGGTTTTAGTCCTGATTTAGTCCTGGTTGAGTCCTGGTTTATACTGGTTTTAGTCCTGGTTTAGTCCAGGTTTAGTCCTGGCTTAATCCAGGTTTAGTCCGGGTTTAGTCCGAGTTTTAGACCTGGTTTTAGTCCTGGTTTAGTCTTGGTTTTAGTCCTGGTTTACTCCTGGCTTAATCCAGGTTTAGTCCGGGTTTAGTCCTGGTTTAGCCCAAAATGTGAAAACAGGAAATACCGCCGTGTAATCCATTAATTTTAACAAAGTAACTGTAATCCAATTACCACTCATGGAAACAGTAACTGTAACTGAATACAGTTACTCATAATTTGTACTCTGATTATGTAACGCTGGTACATGTAATCTGTTACTCCCCAACACTGGTAGTAGTTTACCACCACCAGGTCTGGAGTGAATGAATAAAGATCTGTAAAGTGTCTTTGAGTGTCCTAAAGAGCGCTGTATAAAACTGATGCATTATTATTATTATTACAGTAAGGTTTGGGCTTTCTGCTTCCACGGCATTGTTCATGCAGGTGGTTCATTTACAGACAAGGTAAAACTGAGTTCAAAGATCACACACGTGGAGTTAATATGATGAAGTGAGATTGAGGAGCTGGACCACGCCTCAACCTCCTCTCCAGCCAATCACAGCTTATCCCAACCAAGCCTTCAATTACCCACAAGCCCTATTAATACAGCCTATCCCTACAACAACAACGCCTGTGTCAGCTCTCTCAACCCCCTCCCTCCCACCCAGAATCTCATGTCCGTCATCTTCAAAAAGGAGAGGTTCCGAATCAGCTGGGTGACTATTACCCCCACCCTGAGTCTTCCCCAGCCATCACATCTATCCACCGTCAATAAATATCTTGATAGTATTCCATTGTTGTGGTGTGGTTTTTGCTTGTGAAATGAATTATAAGTTTTGACATTTGAGTACTTCTTTTAGAGGGATTAAACATGTCCATCTTGCATTTATACAATTCCAGGTGATTTAATAGCTGAAAAATCTATTGAAAAACATGTATTCTTACTGTGAGCTCCTCTGACTAGGGGTGTAACGATATCCAAGTCTCTCAATACAATATCATCACGGTATGAACCTCACAGTACGATATTTATTGCGATATTGCGGGAAAGCTCACGATATGGTGGGGAGGCTCACGATTAGAGATGTAACAATATCCAAATCTCTCTGTACCATATTTTCACAATATACATCTCATATATTTATTGTGATATTTTGTGGAGCCTCAAAACTGTTAATACGTGACTTTTTCCTCTTAAAATGCCTTGACAAGACTTAATCCAAAAAACTAAGACTTAAAAGTGTTAGAACTATTATTTCTTCTTGTAGTCTGCACTGAAATGGAGCAAAGGATCATGGTCTATTTTTTTTTTTTAGCTATTGCTGTAACAAAACTCTTAATTTAAGCAAAGAGACTTGTAATTCGATATATTGTGATGGTCCACGATATTATTGTGAGAACTTTGACGATACAATATCACAATATTTCGGTTACTGTTACATTCCTACCTCTGATCAGTAACAAGAACAACTGGCATCACCTGTTCAGATAAATAAACAAGATAAATAAGTTTACAGCCCCTCAGTCATCCAGGTAGAATCCATGACAAAAGAAGAAATTCAATTTGTCAACTGGACAAAAGTCTATTTTGGTCGACCAAAATAAACTTTGTCCAGTCGACAAATTGAATTCTTCTTTTGCCATAAATAAGTTTAATGCCATACTGGGTAACATTCTAAGCTGACCACAAAAAGTTACTCAGAATTAAAAAAAAAAATCTAAATACTTTATACAGTTTTGGTGATTTAATTGACCTTGTTCAATGAATAAGAAACAAAAATAAAAATAGGAGTCAGCTGGTTGGACCTGGAAGTGACATGATCACTCACAACAATCCCATAGAAATTCACCAGTCGAGATTTAATTCAATAAAATGACAATGATCATTTATTGTGAGACAGTTTAAATTATTTAATTGACCCATACATTTGCTGAAATTCATTTAGCATACATTATATTCCATTTGTAACTGACTAAATATTTATTGTCCTTCTTCCCCTGATTTCTCCCCACATTGAAACCTCACAAAGTCCAGAACTCGCGCCTGCTTCCCTTTCAGAAACTGTGCTACGGTTCGGCTCGGGTCGCCCAAAAATGTCTGTGCCAAAAGTCGAGTCTCTCCCTCTCCGCACGGGAGATCCTCCATGTTCCCCAGAGCCACGGGGGCCTCTCCCACCACGTGCTGCCCCAGTTTACGCCCCAAAGCCCCCTCCTCTCCGGCCGGACCTCCCTGGAAGACCACCAGGGCTCCGTACCGCCCCATCACCACCTCCGCCTGCCCGGGGACAGAGCCGTGCACGTACGAGCCGATGTGCCAGTCTGAAGGGACGCCCAGAGTCACCGCGCGCTTCACAGACATGTTTTCACCAAGACGACCTGAGGGAGGAGGATACAGAGGGAAGTGTGAGGATAATGAAGGGCTCACATGGTTCAACTGTTTCTGTACAATCACTGATTTCTGAAGCATGTAGCTCAAAGTGTTACTGACAACATAACACAATCACAGTGACAAGTCTTATATTTGTAAATATTCTTTATTTAAAAGTCTTCAGTGTTCATATTTCAACCTTTATTTGGTTGATAATGAATCTAAAATGTCTGCATGTATCATAGAAATAACTTAGTTGCAGCTGTAAAAACAACAAACAAATATCTGTCTAAAAGTGCAACAAAAGCTATACAATTATAATAATGGTAACTGGAATAAACATTGACTCCTGAACATGTTGAAAGAGGTTTCTTCACTCAGACAAAGCAGTAATTCAGAAGTTTTTGGATGAAAAATATTTTGCATATAAATCAATCAAAATCAAATCAAAATGTAGCAGCTTCACTTTATCTTTAATTTAGCAGGACTCTCGTCTTCTGTGATCTAACCAAAGAATATAATGAGCATATACATTGATTGAAATCCTAGTTGTTACAGTGCTATTTTTCATGTTTTTGTAGGTTGTCATATGTGATTGTATTTAAAATGTTTTCATAAAAAACACTGATATTTTTGAGAGAGTTGTATATTAAATGAATTCATCCAGCACTGTACATTTCACTGACCGATTACAAAAGCCACGTGGTCGGCGAGAGTGACTCCTTCAGTGAGAGTGAGTTTGCTCAGGTCCTCTCCTCCCAGAAGACTCTGAAACACGAGGAGAACGATGAGGACCATCCAAAATGTCATTCACACATTCAGGATGGGACATACTATAGCTATTACATTTAAGTAACACCAGAGGGCAGCAAAGGACAATTCTAAAACAACAGACATGATACAGACTAGATGTCATCTACTGAACAAAGTAAGAAATTCAAAAAAGTTGATGTACAATTTGATTTATGTGTATGTTCTCCTGATTGTTGCCTTAATGGTTTAAATAAATACAGATTTCTGTGAAGTTCAAATATTTGTTAAATACACAAAGTCCTTTATAACAAACACAACACTGCAAATGCATTTTGCAACAATCTTAATCCAAAATGGTCCAAAGACTGAATAAATAGAATCTAATATAGACCTGAGAATCATATGCTTTTAATAATGTTACCTTGACATATCCAGTGTGTTTCTGAGGTTTGTTTTTGTGATGAGCCAAAGTGGCAAAAGCGACAGCCTTCACCAGCTCCTGAAACTTCTCATTACGAGCCACAAAGTCGGTCTCACAATTCACCTGCACCCAAGAAAACAACCAAATATATTATAAATGTGTCTTTCCAAATGATAAAAACCAAACTTATCAGTCTGCTCATTTCAAAAGCTCTTCCTGGATTACCACCTAATGATGTCACAAGGTGAAAACAGGTATTTTGTGCTGTAGATTGCAGGAAATGTTAAGACATTCAGGAGTGTTGACTACAAACAAATTGCCCAGTGTTGATCTTGTTTTAATTGTGTCAATTACACATAAATGACAACTGACCAAACAATGTGATTAATTAGTATAATGCCACATGGTTCATTCATATCCATTAAGGCTGGTATCATTAAATAGTTGCTGATACGATACATACCTTGATACATAGGCCATGATACAATACATATCTCAATACAGTGAGCTTTCGATTTGATATGATATATTTCAAATTGATTTGATACAGTTCAATAAAAATAAAGGCTAAATCATGTCTGTGATACTAAAAGTCTTTGTTAAATCACTTCTTGTGCAAAGTTCATATGAAACACAAACATTTTAATCATCAAAACAGTGAAAATGTCAAATGTGTCACATAAACAAATTTCCTTCCTCTAAACAAACAATAAAACTGTAGCTGTAACAAAATAATTTAATAAAATATACCAAAAAATACTCTTGGAGATATATTGATACAGCAGTCCCCGATATCAATAGTGTATCAGTACAGTACAGTACAGATATATCGATATTTTTGCACACATTTAATATACATGCTTGCACATTTTGATCTGGTTCAAACAAATGTTAAAAATATTATTCATGTTGATATATAGTAGCTCTGCAACAGGTGAAAGAATCAGAATCATTGGCAGTTGGTGATGGTGCAATATTAAACAAAGAATAATAATATAAACTATGATAAAATAAAACATTTAAATCAAGTAAAAACATAGACTTTGATATACGAAGTCAAAATATACAGTATGGACAGAAAAACTATCAGTTGAAAGAGGTTTATTACAGTCGTCGCACACTGATAATATTGGTGGAGTGTTTTTAATTGAAATGTCTGTACCTCGACCATGACTGCATCACTGTCTCCCACAAACACACCGACCAGCCCCTCTCTGGCCCTGCGACCCTCCAGTTTGTTTGCTTTGCTCCAGCCCTCCTTCTGGGCCTGTTCATGCAGCCACGACTCGGCCTGGAAATGGAAAATGGAAAAAAGGTACTTAAGGTGAAATACCATAAAAGGACACTTGTTGAATTGTGTGTACTTCACTAGAGAAGGTCAAAAGTGAAATTTATTTCTACAGCACATTTATAAACAGATACACTGTCAGATACAAGTGCTGCACATGTTCAATAAGTCAATAATACTCACATGACACAGTAATTTCAAAGAATACAAATATTCACTTAAATGCTTAATGCAGGGGTCTCAGACTCGCGGCCCTGGGGCCAACTGTGGCCCTCGGAAGGATTTTTTGCGGCCCTCCACTTAATTCCAAAGAATAATGTCAGTGCGGCCTGCGGTAGATGTAAGCACAATCCCACCCCCCTTCCGCGGGCCGCACTGATGAAGCTGCAATCGGTGCCCATGCAGATTCACAACAGATTATTAACGCAGTTTACGTCCCAAAACTTAATTTACAGCAGTTGTGAAGCAACGAGTCTAATCTGATCTGTTAATACAAGTACACGTGCACATACGGCGTCACCGAAGAACCAAAACAAACCACACATGGTGGTACACGTGTGCACACTTCACTTTACGCTCCCATAACCACAGTATAAGAAATAAAAAGACATTGACAGTCTGTTTACCTGCTCAACACTCGGTGCGTAACTTGCTGGCAACCCGATGACCAAGCTCCACCTGTGCGTCGCCGAAATCCACGCGCACTCAGTGGCAAACACAGCTGTCCCATCAATATGCAAGCACCACAAAACTGCAGTGATCTATTCCAGAGGCTTGGCAACATGTTAACAAAAAGTACGAGGCAAAAACAAGCGTCTTCCATCCATGTTTGACATACGACAAGCAGATACACTCCAGTGTGGTCAGCTTTCACACCGAACCAAAAACGGGTCCAATTAACGAGCCTCTGTATCTCCAGTAACCAATACTGATGTTCCCCTGTTAATACCGCGGGCCGTCCTCATCTTATCACCATGAACTCATAAAACAGCAACATTTAGAACTTTCTACAAACTCACCGCATCAGCCCAGAGTTCGGGTAACAGCAGGAGCCAACAGCGTTCACAGTAGCGCGCAGCTCCTCATGACGGCGCTGGGGTCTGGTCCTTGGTCTTCTGTCGTCCTACAAGCGCGTTGGTCAGATGGTCCGGAGGCTCTGTCCTCCATGTGCTGGTTCCAGACGGTGGCGAGCAAGACCAGTGTGCAATGACTGGGTCTGAGTGGGAACGTTCCACCGTCTGCGCGCTGGTTCCGTGCGGGGAAAGTGAGAATGCGCTGTGGAATATACCTACAGGTCTGTGCGGGCTGCTCCTGTCCTCCGCGCTCAAGAACCGCGGCTGGTTCCGAGGTGGTGCAAAGCATCCGGACAGAAGCGTGAATCCAGTTTAGTTGGTGTCCGCATTTGGTTCTTCCCGGGAAAAGCGCTTTTCACTCCCCGCTCCACGTCATCTGAGCCCGGACCGAACCGGAGCTGCTCCTGCTGGTTCGGGACTCGGGTTTGGATCTAGTCCGACTATATTTCTCACACTAGGTTAAAAGCAGGACATTTTTTAAAGGTGAATCAATTGAATGGGCGATTGCCTATTGCCATAAAATTATTTGGTTAATTAAAGCCTAAAATATCAAATGCTGATTCCTACATGATCACGGGGAACACCAGGACCTCTCTGTGCGTGCAGGTCCGGAACAGAAATACACACCCCCATTTTTGACGCTCTCTGGAGCCACACGTTCGCACGTTCTTGCTCTGATCTTCGTGTGTTACATTCTCTGTATTGGCCATTGTTGGTAAAATAATTCGAAAATGAATCGCGGCTGCGTCTGGACAACAATCTGTTACTGCGTTGGAATCGTACAGCGCGTCATTTCAGGCAAAGGAGACGCGTTTCTCCCATGATGCATTTCGAATAGTTCGTTTGGACCTGCTGTCTATGGTTTGAAACCGGGTTCGCGTTCACACCAGAGCAACCGCACCAAAGTTGGTCATTTGGGTGCGGATTCAAGCAAACCGAGACCACCTCTTTTTTGAGATGTCGGTCCGCTTGAGTTGGTCCGGGTCAGAGTCCGATTGACGCTTTCACACCAACGCAAACGAACCGAACTAACCACTTCTGGTTCGAATGGACCGTTTGGTGCGCACCAAATACTGTTGGTGTGAAAGCACCTACAGGTCAAGGCTCACTGATGAGCATCTTCAGTCTATCCTGAGGATCTCATAAGCTTCCTCCTGCAAGCCAAATATCTCTCAGCTGTACAAGATGAAGCGTAGCCAGGTTTCAACCAGCAAGGAGTAGGCAAAAGAAGAAGAGTAGATGTATTAGTTTAAACTTATGTTCTGAATACATTTTCATGTTCTGAACTGTTATTAAAGATTAAGAAAGTGTGTTGCATGTTGTTCTTTCTCTCTCTTTTTTTCCCGTGCAACCGCTATTTATCGAATACTCAATGCGGCCCAGCCTCACTCAGACTTTATCTAGTGTGGCCCCCAGGTAATTTGAGTTTGAGACCCCTGGCTTAAAGGATTTGATAAGTAAGTAGGAGACGGTACCTGTGTGATGTCATTGTCAAACTTCTCCAGGGCCTTCTTACAGTTTGTGAACGTGTATCCGGTGCTTTTCCTCAGTTTCATGAGAAGAGCTTTTTCTGCAGCGAAGAGCGGACATCCTGAGTGTAAGGACTGCACCGGACCCACCATGCACGCCTGGACACAGAATTAAAACACTAAATAAAAACGAAAAGAGTAAAGAGACATGCCATTTCATTGTCACTTTTCACAAAATTAAATGAACATTTGGAAAAAGAATAATTCCTTTTTTTTTTCTTCTGTGTTCCACTCCTGCCCCATTTTAAGAAAAAAAGTATTCTTTAGAAATCTAAAGAATGAAGAAACAATTCTTCAAATCCCAAACTTAAACAAAACTGATGGATAAACGTGTTGATTAATGAGCCCCAAGCAATACTACTGGATGAGAATTCTGTTAAGATGTGCTCAATTTCACATCCTTCATTATAGTAGCCTACACTTCTCTTTATCATTAGTTACTTACAGTTCACAATAATGTCATTTCAAAGTGACACAGAGTAGAATATTTCCATTTATATGTCCAAGTCAACCTTTACAAAACACTGTCTAACAGTCTAAATTTTTCATTCTATCAATTTATTAATGTCAATTAAATCATGAACACTAGAATTTCATATTCACCACTGCTTCTGCTCACAACAACAACAACAGTATAGTGGGACTGCGCTGTAAATTAGTAGGTATAATTAGAACAGATTTTCTCTTGGATTTGTAGTTTGGCATCATCCTGATCCTGACACTTTAGCAAAGCAAAGCTATAGGAAGTTCAACTGAAAACCTATAAAAAACCTCCGTATCTGTGACATGACTGCTCCGTTATTTCGTGCATAGATGTAATACGTACCCTGGCCGCTCCTTTAGAGACAGATCTGAATAACAAACCCAGAGACATGTTTAGAAATGTGCACAAATGTGTTTCTTACGAAACTCAAATCAAATGCTCTAATGTCATTGAGCCACGCTGCGTACGGCACACCGCGAGGGACAAAATACAAGCGCTTTCTCTATTGGGATATACGCGCGTGCCATCTGCAGGACGGGAGGGAAAGGAAACGTTCAACAGCTGTAATAAATAATATATACTATATATATGACATATTATGTCATATATATGTCATATATATGTAATACATTTAGTCTTTTTCGTGTTCAATGTTAAGTGGAGGTGAGAAACGTCATGCTGGAGCAATGAAAGTGTTTTGGAGCAGAGACCCACATAGCAAAAAATATCCGCAGAACGGATCCGCATCGGAGTTCACTTGCACATCGCCGCGGATCCGCAACGGATCCGCCGCGCGGATACGCAGCGGATCCGTCAAAATAAGCCCGGATCCGCGGCGGAGGCGCGGCTGATCCGCTGCGTATCTCGCGGATCCGCCCGGGACCCGTTTTGGATCCGCTTTCAGAACCGGGTTATCTGCCGCGGATCTGTTTATTGTGTCGTTAGGAGCCTAAATATGCTTCAGATTTAATACTGATCCACTTCCTTACTGACCTAAATACATCAGCAGCATTTGCATTGTAACTGTACATAAACCTTTTACAGCAAGTATTAAAACTAGGATATAAAGGCTTAAATTTAAAAACATAAACTTAAACAATTTCAAAGTTGGATCAGTGATATCCTATCACTAAATCTCATCAGTTAAAGAAAAAAGAAACTTTTTTTTTTTTTTTTACATTGTAAACAATATTTATTTAAATCATTAATTAGAAATCTTAGGACATGAATAATTATTATTAATGTTATAGGACTTATATACCCTTTGAGTTAACCAATGCTTCATTCTTAATATGAAAATGACAATTTACAGTTTTTACTAAAAATAGTTCAAGTTAAGCAAAGTTTTTTTTTTTTTTTAAATGGCAAAAAACAAATATAAGCTATATGAGTAAAAGCCTGGACAGATGAGTGTAGCCATACCATACTGTTAAAACTAAAACTTAACTTGTGTTTACCACCACAGTACAATTAGACGGATGGTTGTTCTTATAGAGTGTGCAGTGTGGGAGCTTCAGAGCCTCTGTCTTTAGCTTCAGTCTGAGGCAGAGGTGTAGTGAGGCTGGCTCCTCTTCAGTCCTTCAGCATCTGAAATGACACCAGTGTGTATTAAACACCCCATTACACCTCTTATTCTTGTAAGGAGTTAGAGTTCAGGTTTGTGAAGAACATTGTAAGTCCTGACAGTGGCTGTGTGATTTGAACATGAAAGGTGAATACTTGATTGGAGAGATCTGTGCACTGTTAGGTATCCTCAAAAAAAACATTCAGCGTGTTCTCTTAAAAATGACCACTGGAATCGATCGATTAAAATCAAAAAGAATTTATTCCCTATACAATACAATTCTAATACAGAGCTCTGGGTCAGATTGTTGTCCCTAACTGCCTACAAAGTTACATAGGGCTTACATCAGGCATCTGACCCCTTCTGAATACTTTTGAACACATTTTTTTTATAAACATCCATATGAATATGCATATAATATGTTGAGCAGGTTCCCGCCTTGAATCGTCGCCTTGAAGTGTCAGCATTTCTTCTTTGGGGGAAGTGACAACCCCCTCCAAACCATTGTAAATCACACCAAGTCTGTTTAGATAAGCCAGTTGGTTATCTCCACGGTCCCAGTTCTGCAAAGGAATTTGCTTAGAAGCACATAGGTTACCCATTATGTAGGAAACACAATGGTACTGTTCAACAGATAAGATCTCAGTGTTTAAGCTTCAACTCAATGTGTAACTTCATTAACCAATATTCAAACCACCACTTGATACAGCTTTCATTTCCCTCTTTTGACCTCTCCTAAGAGGTCACCACTCAGAGCAAGGTAATATCACATGGTTTTCTGTTCCTCTCCAACACCCTTCACACTCAATTGGGGATACTGTCCTCTTGATCAGGGCGAATTGCACTGTTAATGACCTTAAAACACAGAACACACAATACAAGGCACACAACAACATTCCACCAATGCAAATACAGCAATGTTGTTAATTTTTTATTTTATTTTTTTTTCCATATTTCCCCCTTTGGGCAGGGGGAGCCCAATACCCAAAAAAAGCAATATAATCATGCTTGTATACTCAACCTTCAGCCAGTGTGTATTAACCAACCATGTACAGCAGTGCTTCTCAAATAGTGGGGCGCCCCCTGGGGGGGCGCGAGGCTCCGTCAAGGGGGGCGCGTTTGACCTCGGCGAACATGCTTTTTTATTTTTTTATTTAGTTTTTTTTTACTGTCTTAAGGGCCGTTCACACCAAACCGTCAAAAAACGCCTTGACGCCTCTATTTGGAGCCTTTGCATTTGAGTTTAGACGCCCCCGACGCGCATCTTTGACGCCGTGGACGAACGGGACAAAAAATATTTGACGCGCGTCCGTTGCCCTGGAAACAAGAGCCCGATCCCGCTCTTTTCCCGAAACAATGTCAGACCAGACTGAGACAGTGTTTTTATGACATAAAACATCAAAGGAGGAGATCGGGTCGACGACTGGGGCGTATATATATTTCTACTCCGCTAATGACACTGGATCAGTCCCGGTCTAGTCCTGGTCTAATACCGGTCTGGTCCTGGTCTAATCACGGTCTAGTCCCGGTCTGGTCCCGGTCTAGTCCCGGTCTAGTCCTGGTCTAATCACGGTCTAGTCCCGGTCTAGTCCTTGTTTAGTATCGGTCTAGTCTCGGTCTAGTCCTGGTTTGGTCCTGGTCCGGTCCTGGTGTATTCCTCGCGATCGGCTCGGTGATTGTGGCGTATATATTTATGCTCCGCTCATGTTTGTGGTTCTCGTTCTGGTTCTCGGGTTTTTCTTCATGATAATAACGTCGCTGCGTCTCTGGATACTCGTCCCTGATTGATTGACGCGGCGCGTCTGACGCGAAAAGTTCAGCATTTTCAACTTCTTGACGCTGACGCCTTGGACGCGCGTCTTGGCCGCTGACGCCAAAAACGCTGAAGACGCGCCGCGCTGACGCCAGATTCGCGCCGCGCTGACGCCGAAAACGCGCCGCAAAAACGCAGGACGCTCTAGTCGCGCGTCCACATAGACTTTACATAGAAAGTGGACGCTTTGACGCTTTGGTCTGAACGGGCCTTTAGAATAAAGTGCAATTGCACTTCCACTACATTAGGGGGCAGTGGCGCTCTCATTGGCAGAGTGTGCGCAGGGAGCATTCGCTCGGTGGTGTAGGAGTTTTGTTTGCACTGAGCATGCGCGCTTTGCACACAGCACAGAGTTTGAGTATGAAGTGTAGACACGAAGTGTAGCAGACCCTCAAGTGACACCATGAAAAAATATTTAACAGGGATGAGAAGACAGACGGAGAGAGACGGAGATAAAGAGACAAACGAAAATCTCCCGAAAGCTAAGACGAGGAAATATGACGAAGCGTATGTAGCACTTGGCTTCACTGTGACTATGGTGGGAGACGAGGAAAGACCGGTGTGCTTACTGTGTCTAAAAATGTTGGCAGCCGACAGCATGAAGCCCAATAAATTAAGGCGTCACTTAAATACATTACACCCCAATCACTCTGATAAGCCGCTTGAGATTTTTCAGCGAAAAACGTGCCGAATATTGCCGACAATCATCCCGCTTTGTGACTGCTACTTCAGTAAACCAGCGAGCGTTGTTGGCGTCATATAAGGTGGCAGTGTTACGCACAGGTGTACTTATAACAATTTTATAGACAAATGATACTATTTATAGTCACGCGGAAATAAACTTCAGAAGGTGGAAATATATAGCAGCCTCCTCTCTGGAAGCTGGGAAGAAAATTAGACACCAGTTGCCTCAGTTGATTCCAATCTGGCTTGTACTGAAGATTTAGAAGGGGCACCTCTTCCTGCGGTACCAATGTAGCCCCTGGACCTGGCATCAATCGTCCAGTGAGCAATTCATAATATGAAAAAACTGTGACTTTATAAATAGTTTATCTCACTGCCAGAAGAACCAGGGGTAGGGCTTGGAGCCAATTAAGCCCTGAAGTAAAACAAATTTTAGCCAATTTGACTTTTAGACTGCAGTTCATACGTTCACCCATTCTTGGCTTTGAGGGTGATACACAGAATTACATTTATTATATTTTGTACCATTATCAGACCTATTCAGAGCTGGAAAGCCATGAGTAGGAATATAATGATTAATCATTACCTTAATCACAGAAGAAGCATCCTCACAGTTCAAAGAGTAGGCTTCAGACCAACCTGTGAAGGAATCTACAAAAACCCAAAAGATAACTCTTACCTTGGACACGATGTAACATATCTGTGAAGTCAATAGTCACTTCTGCGTCTGGCCAAAGGGCTAGATGGAACTTACCAGGTGCTGGCTTAAGGGTGGACTTAACATAAAAATATTAACAGGTGTTACAATTGTTACAATGGTCCCTGACCAAGTCAGACATGAATGAGTGCCACCACATATGTAAATTTCCCATCATAGTCTGAATTTCTACATGGGAGGGGTCATAAGCCTCCTCCAGAACAGCCTTAGAGAGAGGGCAAATGGGCAACACTGTTTGGCCCCTGGGGCCTCTCCATAGACCATAGCTGTCCCTGACTCCCTTATCACACCACAAAGACATTTCCAGCAGAGAAGCTCCTTGAGCATCTAACAACACATCCATGTCATGAGGCACTGAAGAAAGATCCTGGCAGATTTTGGTGAAATTGTAAACCTGCATTTCACAAATACGAAGTTCCCCAGAGCTATTAATATTATCTGCCACATTAGTGCCATCAGTCAGATAGGTCAGATGTAGTTGAGCGAGCGTATTCAGCAGTCTAATCTGCCTGAGTGAGGTGAGAGTAAAGTGACATTACATACATTAAAACTGTCCTTGAACCCTTACATGTTTGAGTAGTATCATCAATAGCTACATAATGTCCTCAGTCCCTATAGTCCAGTCAAATATAGCATTTAAATTTCTCAAGCCTTTTCTTTCACTAAAATGCACCATTGAGATATTTAGTCTACAT